CCCCCCTCTTCCAGGGGGGCCAAGGCCCCTCCTCAGCTCCCTTTGCTGTTGTACCTGGGGCTGTCTGGAAAACACTGCAGCCAGCGCTGGCTCATCAGGGTGATGCCTTGATTAGCACCTAATTGCACCCAGAGCAGCCAGGAGCTCCACAAGCCCTCAGGAGCCACATGTCCCTGGCCCCATCCCGTTGTGGGGACAGCATTTCCCACGGTGTAACCCGCTCCACCGGGGCTGGCTGACCACGCACAGGGGAGGGACAATACCTCTGATCTTCTCCAGCTGGGCCTTTATGTCCCTCTGACACTTCTCCTTGGCTTCCACCAGGAGATAGATCTGCTCTTCTTTTGTGAGAACATCATCAGGGTCAACCTGCCCGAACAAACTGAAGTGACCCCTGGGCTCAGGCCACGCTCTCCCAGCCCTCTCCAGCAGAGTCAGGTTGGGGTGGCTTTGGGTAGATTCAACAACACAGGGAAGAAAAAAGCTCTTCCTGCCTTCCTGCTCTCATTTTTCCCTCTTCCAAGGCTGAGGGTGACCCCAAGTCCCCTCCCACCCTGTTTATGGTCCATGTCCATGTTTAATCAGCATGTCAGGCTCCTGCCCTCCGTGTCACCCCCCCACCAGTGGTGCTGGGTGTCCCTCTTTCCCACGCTGAGCTCTCCAGGCCAGCTCTGGCAGCCTCTGGATAAAGTGCTCAGCAAGCAAGTGGGTGCCCAGTGCCTGGAGCTGGGTGGGGCAGATGGTGCAGCCTGGGACACCTTCAGCCTCCTGGTCACACCACATGTGCAAACGTCTTTTGGGATGTTTTGGGCTGAGCTGCTGCAAGGAATTTGGAGCTGGGATGAGGAAACAGTTTTGGAAGTGAAAAGGAGCCAGAATGCAGGGGGTTTGCTCTTCCCAGACTGTCCACAGTCCATGGGAACACGGCCAGCTCCAGACCCAGAGAGGACTCCCTTTCATGTTCCTCCCAGACCCAGCATCTGGGTGGGTGGGTGGGTGGATGGGAGACTCGTTAGGGATGTAGGGCACTAGTGGGGGCCCTGGGGGTGCCTCAGCAGGGTGAGGGCCTGGCTTTGGGAGTCACTCTGGGTGTGCCCAGCTCTGCCCTGGCCTCATCCCCCCAACCTCGCCCGCGCTGACCGTAAACCGCCCGCTCCGAGGTGCTGAACCCTGCCCTGGATGCAGCCAAGAAATGGAAAAGCCATCACGCCACAGTGCCTCCATGGCTGCTGGAAAAGCTTTTAGCAGGAGTGGAGATGCTCTGCCCGCCCCGCCCGGCTCCTGCCCGGCAGCTCCGCGGAGCGGGACGTGCGGCCGGGAGCGCACACGGCCCCGACGGGGGAGGGCGGCACAACCAGCGACCTTTAAAGCCGGGAGAGGGACCGGAGCAGCCCACGGGGCCACGCGGACTTACCAGAGCCCACGCAGAGCTCAGGAGGCAGCAGCAGAGGAGAGCCACCGTGACACCTCCCACGGGGACGGATGCCTCCATGGTGCCGCTGTGTCACTCGACGGGGACCTCAGGGACCTGAATCGCTGCCAGCCCGAGGCCGTGGGTGATGGAGAGGGCTGGTGCGTTCAGCAGGACAGAGCATCTTCTGGGAGCACCTTCCTGGCCCTGCCGAGGTGAGGTGGCAGCGGGGGCACAGCCCGTCCCCGGGAGCTCAGGGCCGGGGGAGCCCCGGGGCGAGCCCCCTGTCCCGGTGGGCACTGCCCCGGCAGCACTATCGGGATCTGCTCGCAGGCTCTCCAGGCAGGGGGGGGTTCTCCCCCCACAATGCTTGATCCTATTCCCTCTCCGTGTCTCGCCAGCTTTAAGCAGCTCCTGGAGCGTGTGCAAACAATTCCCGTTCGGATGGGGACGGCGGAGGTTTATTGGCTTAGCCCTAGGTGCTAAAATCCTCTTCGTTCAAGGCAGATTCCTCTTCTCTTTTCAGAAACTTCTCTCACTGCCTGGTGGCTCATTTTTCAGCTGTCACAGCATCCTCCCGTCGCCCCCAGGCTCCTCAGTCCCCTCCAGCCCAAGAGTGGTCCCGAGGAGCCCGGGGAAGGTGGGGAATATCCCAGCGAGGTGGCTGGAGCCAGGGAGGCAGAGGGTGCAAGCACGTGAGCAGCACCTTGAACTGATGCTCCTGAGAAGGGATGTCTTCCAGGCAGCCTCCAGTTTAACCCTTTTCCTTCTCTGGGGCTTGGAGTGTGTTTTGGGGAGATGTGCTGGGATCAGTCCTGCTCCCCCAGCCCCTGCTGGGACCTCACTGCTCAAGGCTCCTGCAGAGAGGGGCTGGAGGCTCCGTCAGCTGGGCAGGGACACGGAGCTGCCACCTGGATGGGGTCCCACCCAGCCGGGGGGTCCTTGGGCCTCGTGTCAGAGCTGGTCCCACTGCAGCTGACACTGTCCCTGTCACAGCCATCCCTTGTCACCTGCATCCCCCCAGGGAGGCCCAGGGCTGTCCCCTGTCTGTTGGGATCATGCTGATTCCCAGCTTGCTCCCACTACCCCGCCAGTTCCAACACCTTGTGTCCCCCCAGCAGCCCAAATGTCCCCCCGGGGAATGGGGCACCGAGAGGGGAGTCCTTGTTCCCTGGGCAGGTCATCCTTGGTGGGATGAGGCTGAAATTCAACAGCCCGGTGTCAAATCCCAGGAGGAGCAGCTCCCAGCCTGGGCCTCTCCCTTGGCCCGTGTAATCCATGTCCAGGCACAGCTCTGGCTGCCTCTGCCAGTGCCACAATCCCACACGGAGCAGCAGAGCCCCCGGAGCCTCCCTCGGGGTTTTCCTGGTCCTAACCACGAGCCCCTTTGGCTGTGTGGAGGAGGGTCAGGGTCCTGCTGGGCTCCCGTGGCAAGGGAAGGAGCATCAGCAGCTGAGGGGGCACAAAAATCCGAATGACAGGGCACAGGAGGGGCTGCTTCTCCCGCCGATCGACTCAGACAGGAAAACAAGCCCTGCCGCGGCCATCAGCTGACAACCAAGGAGGGATTAGGGGCATCTTCGGCAGCTGCCCGGCCCCCCAGCCCAATTTAGCCGCCCGGCGTGGGTGTGACACAGCCCAGGGCACTGCTCTGCCGAGCGGCACCGCCGGGGATCCTCAGGATGCTGCTCGGCCGCGGAGGGCAGGGGAGGGATGAACAGCTGAACTGCGGGATTAACGTTTTCTGAAGGCTCTGCTGGGTCTCATTTCTGACCCAGAAGCTGCCGAGGAGTGAGGATGGAGTTAAGGTGAGGTTATTTTGGAGTCGGATGGATGCTGAGGGGGAGGCAGCTCAGGGGCAATTTGATTCCCTTGATTTCCCAGGCGAAACCCGACCCAGGCTCCGAGTTCACACTTAGCAAAACAGGTTGGGTTTTTTTAGCTAAATCACTTGTTATATTCTAGAGAGCTCTGGAAAGCAATGATTGCAAATGACACCCATCCAGCCCCATCATCCAGCCCCCTCACTCCCCATTCCACGACAGCACTCAGGAAATGATGGCACGCAGCAAATTCCCAGCAGTTTGTGGCTGCTCCCTCCTCCTGAGTGACCCCCCCAACCCTGCTGGTGATGGCTCAGCCTCTGGCTTCAGCAAGGAAGAGACTGGGGGATTCTGAGCACAGGGCTGGGTTGGTGACACCCCCATTCCCATCACTCCTGGCCCTGTGGCAGCTCCTGAACAGCCTGGTCATGCCAAGACTGAGCCACTAAAACTACAACTATGATGGCATTTTCTATATCTATGTATAAACAACACTTAAATACACACATATAGAATGTGTTTATATATATTTATGTAAAAATATCATGGCTCAGGCTCCAGCCAGCACTGAGACCTCATAGCTCTGGCACCAGGACTAACAACATCCCACAGGACTCTGTTCCACCCAAAGGCTTCCAACCATCCCTGAGCCCAACTTAAGCCCATGCTGGAGAGACGAGGCTGTGCAGCACCTCCACAGTGCAGAAGACACTCTCATCTGTTGTAAATCATTTTTTTGTCCATTTGCTTCTGTTACCAGAACACCAGCTCTTGGATCCCAGTGCAAATTTGGGATGGGTTTTCACAGAATATCCTGAGTTGGAAGGGACCCACAGATGTCCACTAGTCAAAATCCTGGCCCTGCACAGGACACCTGAACAATCCCACCATGTGCCTGAGAGCATTTTCCTCCTCCTGTGCCCTGGTACAACCTGGCTACGTTTAAGTTGATGGTTTAGGATGTCTCAGTGTAACCCTGGAGCCCCGTTTCCTGGGATGCTGAACCTTGATGAGTTCTTCTGCCTATTCCATGGGTCTTCAAACAGTTGGGAGAGGAGGGTGAGAGCAGGAATGTCTCCCATTGGAGCCTGCCCAGTGACTGGAGGGGAGCCAAAAGGAGATCCCATCTGCCCTGCAGGTTTTGGGGATGCTCGGGGTGGGGGGTGCAGGGCTGGGAAAGACCCCGAGCCGGTGAATTCAGTGCTGGCTTTGGCCATCATTTGCATTACCCCATTAGCCACCCCGAGGGAGGTGAGCACCGACAGCGTGGCGTTTTCCAGGGCACAATCCAGCCCTGGGAAGACAATGGGGCAAACCAGACCCCGAGCACGAGGCCAGGGGGATCATTCAGAGAGGTTTTGAGCTCCTTTGAAGGAGCAGTTCATAACCCCTGGGCTTAGAAGGGCTCTGCAGCCCCGGCCCTCGCAGTCCTGCCTGGAGACAGGCGCTCTCCCCGCGGGTATCACAGCAGGTTTATCAGCCATCATTTGCTGTTTCCTTGCCAGGCCCCCGTGGCCGTTCGAGTTTAGGTTTTCAGTGGTCATTAGCAAGCAGCCCCCATGCAGCCCACCCGGTGCAGGTGCTGGAGGGGGACGTGTCCCCCCTGATGCAGCTGGGGGGGCGGCCGGTGGCTCCTCGGAGCCAGGAGGCGATGACAATGGGCAATTGTCAAATTGGGGCCCCTCTCGTTTGAGTTTTCTTCCTTTTATAGTAAGTAGCAGTTGCTCCAGCAGCTGGCCTGCCCCTCCGGGGTGAGGACTGGGCTCCGTATATAAGGGAAGGAGCAGCCTTTGCCTTTCATCCCTCCGTTCCCTTCCCTCGCTGGGCGGCAGGAGTCCCCCTGCACCTCCGCAAATCCCGGCGATGCCGCTCAAGAAACCCGACCCCAAGAAGGAATCGGCCAAAGCAGGCTCGGAGCGGGAGCCTGCCTTCGATCCCAAGAGCGTGAAGGTGAGTGAGGAACGAAGACGTCACCGTCTTCCTCCATGCCCGTCATCTGCCAGGCACGGGCGATGCAAAGCGCCGCACAAAAGGCGTCAGCCAGGCTGGGAGCCAGGCTTGGGAGGGGAAAACTGCCGGACTGTGCGGATGCAGCAGGCTGGGAGCGATGCTCTCCTCACCGGGGGGATGTTTTAGTCTTCCCCACCCAGCCCTGCACGGCGCTCACCGGAGGGACCCGCTGTGGATTTGCTGCTCCCAGAGCTCCGGCCGTGCAGCCAAACCCCCACAGCTCCTGCTGAGACTCCGTGTCGGGGCCCCAGCAGCAATAAAAACCTCCTCTGCCACCCACCGTCTCCATCCTAAAGTTGCCTGTGTTGCTTCCTCCACATAAGAGCCTCTTTTATCCCAGACTCCACAACGGGAGCTTGCTTTCCCCGTGATTCCCCGGGACAGTCACGTTTTTGAGCCGGAGCTGTGGCAGGAGAGTCATTAAGAGCAGCCTCAGCACGCTGAGGCTGTTTAATCACTTGAACTAGGGATCAGACCTTAAAAATAACATCCTTTTCGCTCAAAATAGCCCTGACTGTGGTCTGAGCATCCCTCCTGCCTGCCCCCCGCCCTGCTGCTGGCTGTGCTTTCCGCAGGGATCTCAGCTCAGCAGCAAGGGCTCCTGGGCATGGCGTGGCTGGACACGGCATGGATACGGCTCCTGCCCTGAGCCCGGGGAGGGGGAGATCCAAAGAGATGGCAGAGCCCCTTCGTTCCCCCGGCAGTGACCCCCCCCTCATGCCCAGCTCTGTTCCCTTCTCTTCACAGATTGAATTCACAGCAGAGCAGATCGAAGGTAAGTGGCGAGCTCAGTGTCTCCCAGAGATGGCTTTAGAAATGGGGAATCCCTTTTCCAGGTAGTTTTTCACCACAGACATGAGAGCCAGGGCCACACATCAAATCCCCTCCTGGGGGGAAGCTCAGCGGGATCCAGAGCCTGGCAGGGAAAGGGTAATTTTCATCCACGGTGTGAGATGCAGCCCGGGTCAAAGTCAGGGGTTCTGGTGGGAGGAGCAGCCTCCGGAGATGCAGGGACAGCCCCAGAGAGGGGAGATCCCAATGGAAAAGGGGATGAGCAGGGATGTCCTGCAGCAGAGCCTGCTGCCGCGGGTGCAGGGATCCAGCAGGTCACCCAGCCAGCTCTGCACGGGTGACAAAACCTGCTCGAGCAGCTGAGCGACTCCTCCGAGGAGCCTGGCAGCCTCCAGCCCGCCTTGCTCGAGCTCACCCAGCGTTCAGAGGGCACCCACCCCACACGCGTCCACCCCTTCCCTGCCCGCCAGGCAGGACGAGCTTCGGTGGGGTGGGAGATGGGGCGGGCACAGCCGGGGACATCCGAGCGCTCCCTCCCCGCAGAGTTCAGAGAAGCCTTCGGGCTGTTTGACCGGACGCCCGCGGGGACGATGCAGATCAGCTACGGGCAGTGCGGGGACGTGCTCCGGGCGCTCGGCCACAACCCCACCAACGCAGAGGTCCTGAAGGTGCTGGGCAAGCCCAAACCAGAAGGTGAGAGCAAACCGGGGACAGGGTGGGACAAGCAATCCCTGAGCTCCCTGGCTGCAAGTAGAGCATATGTTCCCTGTAGGAACAGCCCGGCAAGGTGAAGGAATTGGGAAGGAAATTATGCAGACGGTCTTCATTCCTGTGTATTCCTTCACTCCCCTTCCCCATACCATGGCTGACACAAGGGATAGGCGGTGCTCACCCAGGCACGGTGGCTACTGATGCTTAGCAGACCTTATCCTGAACTGGTACCAACTGGTGTAACCTGACCAGTCCCAGTGTGGCCACATAGCCCTGGTGAGAGGGGACCCACCTGCTGCTTTAATTTTGGGCTGATATCAGGGGTGTTTGTGCAGTCCCCTGATGTCAATACCTTATTCCTCATATGGATCTTCCAATTTCAAGTATAATAGAATAGTTCCATCTCCTTGTGGGCCTTCTCCCCTGTACTCTGATGGAAAAGAGCCCAGGAGGGTTAAGCAGGAGGCCCTCAGAGGCCGAGTTCAGCCTCAGAACCTGCTGCTTATAACGCCAAGGTTGTGGGTTTGATCCCTGTGTGGGCCATTCACGCAAGAGTCGAACTCAATGATCCTCGTGGGTCCCTTCCAACTCAGAACATCCCGTGACATAAATGCATCTCCGACCCCACCTCCTCCCCCCCTCCCTTCCAGAAATGAACACAAAGATGCTGGACTTCGAGACCTTCCTGCCCATCCTGCAGCACTTCACCCGCAACAGGGAGCAGGGCACCTTCGAGGACTTCGTGGAAGGGCTGCGCGTCTTCGACAAGGAGGGCAACGGGATGGTGATGGGGGCCGAGCTGCGCCACGTGCTGGTCACGCTGGGTACGGGCTGGCCCGGGAGGGTGTTGCCGTGGGATTTATGGCGCTGAAAAATCTCCCGGAGCAGTTAATTAGGGGTGAGACAAGAAAGGGTTTATTTTGCCAAGGCTAAAGATGCTACAAGACGCGCGCCCGCCGTGCCCGAGAGGTTACATTTTTATAACACCATCCCATCCAATCCCAGATGTGTCCACCCTGTGGCCTTTACTCTGGTCCGCCCCGGGTCCACCCCCTGAAAATGGGGCTGGGGTGCATTTCGGGACCCCCTGTTCATCCCATCTTCATCTCCCTCAGAGCACAAAGGGTACATAGTTACCCAGTTTTTGACCGTGTTCTGTGGTTTAGGCCCTGATATGCTGTTCTGCCAACAATCTAGGCCTTGCCTTGACAAAAGACTAAACATTTCTATTGGATTCAGGAGTAGGATTGATATAGGGAGCATAGAATGGGGTAAGAGGGTTAAGGAATGTGTAAACAAGGGTGCTACAGAGAAAGGGATGTAAGGGAGTGAGGGTTGCTGCTTTTAAAATCTACCTATAAAACTTACAAGGCTTACAAATATTAGAAAAATAAAAAACCATTAGGGGCTTAAGGCAGCAGGGCAGCAGGGCAGGGCCACCCCCAGCTCTGCCTGGGCAAGTGGCTGGTCTGGTGTCGCAGGGACCCTTCTCACCCTGCTGCTCCCAGGCTCTTGTAGGAGCCAGTGGCTCCTGACTGTGGGGCCTTTCCCACCTTATGCCGCAGCTTCGGGTGTGACCCAGGGGAGGTGGAGAGTCCAGAACACCCTCAGTTATCAGATAACTTTTTGCAGCTTGGTCCTCTCTCCACAATCTCCCACCTGTCTGCGGGCACACAGCTCCTCTCTAACCCCCTGTTCCTTTCCTCTGGTGGCTTTGGCTCTCTGGAATAAGGATGGGAAGGTCCTGGCAGGCTGAGAATCCTTCCCCTCACCTCTCCATCCTCCTCTTCCAGGGGAGAAGATGACGGAAAGCGAGGTGGAGCAGCTCATGGCAGGGCAGGAAGATGCCAATGGCTGTATCAACTATGAAGGTGAGAGTGAGAGATTCCCACTGGGGCCATCTCAGGCACGGCTGTCTTGTCTTAGGATGAAAATTTTGGTTGGACTCAACGATCTTAGAAGTCTTTTCCAGCCTTAATGATTCCATGATTCTGTGACACTGCTGATCACTAGGAGGGAGGTGTGGACCACCCTCCAAAGCCCTTCCTAAAAGAGCACTGAGACAAGTCAGCTGGGGTGGGAGCAAGGCAGTTGTGCCAGTGATTTCCAGGAAAAGCAGCTGAAGGCAGCATGTTTCCAAGGGTTTCGGGACTGTTTTATCCCTGGTTTTGGCACTGTTTTGTTGTAAGCTATCAAAAATAAACAAAGCCAGTGTCTTTCACAGCAGAGGCTAATTGGGAACATTTGGAGACTTGGATCACTCGTGGCTCCAAGAGGGTGAAAATCTGGAATAGGGGGTGGTTAAATTTGGGAACCACTAAAATTGGAGAGCGTTGAGGAAAAGAGGGGACCCATTCCCCTTGGCCTCAGAAAACTGGGGATAACAGTACCAGCTCGTCTCCAAGGGTTGGGATCACTCTAACCAGGTTGGGGGGGGCATGCAAAAAGTGGGAACAGAAGAAGGAATATCAGTCCTGGCATTCCGGGGTCTCCCAGCTGGGGGTCCCCCCTGCTGCCCCTCCACCCTCTCCCCCAGCTCACACCATCCTCTGACCTCTCACACTCCCATTTCTCCTCAGCTTTTGTCAAGCACATCATGTCTGGCTGAAAGGAAAAACTTCAGGTGAGTCCACGGGGTCTCCTGCTGCTTCCTCCAAAATTGGAAATCCTGCATGGAACAGCCATGGGCAGAGGAACCAAAACCCAAACCTGCAGTGGATTAATGCCACGGGAACAATCCCAGCTCTGGAGGCACAAAAAGCTGTGCTGATGATGAGGAATCTCATTTGTTACTCCTGCCAGTTAGAATTTACTGGGACAGAATCACTCCCGTGCTGGTCAGTCGTGGTCTGGGTAATTGTGTTGGAAGAGGTTGAGGTGGAAAAGAAAGAGGAAAGAAAGAGGTTGGGGTGGTTTATGGTGCTAGATTTTCTAACCCACCAGGAGCTAAGGGGGTCATCAGCAACAGCCAGTGGGAATAAATATTTTAAGACCTGCAGCAGTGAGTGACTCGATGTTAAGAAAATACAAAGTACTTAGAGAGGAAATTTCTGAACTGAGAAATATCAACGTTCCTCCTAACATTAGAAAGAATATGGAAAATGTACCGTGGATGTTTGTGAAGCTTTTTTGTGTTCCTATAAGTCTGCCTGAGGAAAACAGAAGAAACAGGTTTCTTTTAGGGTGAATTATCCCTCTGAAATCTATTCAATTTAAAAGAAAATCCAAATTGCTGGCTCCCCTGCCAATTTCTTATGGTTTCTTATCTATTTACTTTCCTTAAACATTTCTCCTCCCCTCAGCTGTGTGAAGCAGCAGGGGAAAAAAAAAAGAGACATAAAAATGACCTTCAGGTACTACTAAATACACAAATTAAACATTTAAAAATCTCCCCCCCCATCTCTTTAAACATCAGAAGATTAAAACAGACACAGACAGAAGTCTGATCTTTGAATGTTCAGCATCCTTTTTATTTTCTTTTTAATCCATTTCTCTCTGGTTCCTGCTCATCAGCTCAGCAACAGAGATGGTTGGGTGGCAAACCCTGCCAGGAGATTTAATTCTTCACCAAACTATTTGCACATAAAACTCTTTTTTAACGGTATGGAATGACAGCTATTGGCATTTTGGGTTTATCTGGGAAGGAGCACTCTCACACAGACTCACTGCATTGAGCCCTCTCCTGCTTCTCTCCCAGGCTCTTGGAAATGTTTGAACCCACCTGAGCACCAGGAAGAGGGAGATTCCTCCATCCCTGTCCTTTCCATGGGATGTTTCCACGTGAGCCACCCCTCCTTGGTCTCCGTGTGTGTGCCTAAGCCTGGTATTAAATAAGACACTGGCAACTTGGTTTGAAACCTTAAGTTATTCTTTTTGGGTTTTCCCTGCGACGTTTGGCTCATTAAACGAATTCCTTCCTCCCTGACGTGGTTTGTCTGCTTTGGCTTTGGGCAGCTCATGGATGTGGTGGGTGGAGGAGACCCCTCGGTCCCCAGCAGCTCTCGGGGGCAACAGGATATTCCCATGGAGAGGGGGAAGAGGCAGGGAATGTGAGGGAAGAGTTCAGACATGGGGGTGAGGATCATCACCCCACCCTTGGCACGGGCCTGGCCACCTCCTGCTGATGCAGACCTGGAGCAAGGACAGCATGAGGGACATGTTGCGTCACACAGACGCCCTGGTTTTGGGAGGGTCTTCACCTCCTCTCTGCCCTTAAACCAGTCCTTTTTCAAACCTGTAGCCCTTGTAACCCCATGAGCATTCCCTCCAGGTCCCGGGTGAACAGCACCATGGAGCACAGAGGGACCTGCTTGGCCCTGTCCCTGTCCCTGTCCCTGTCCCAGGAGAGACCTGCAGGCATCTCTCCTTCATCAACACACTGCCTGTCCCAGCCAGAAAAGGCCCTTAAAAACCCCAAAACATTAGATAAAACATCAAAAACATTCTTTCTTCTGCATCATGGACAGATCCAAAAGTTTAGTTTTGAAGGTTTCCTGGAAGTTGAGTCTTGATGAATCAGCAAGGGAGAAGGAAAATGGGGAAAGAACAGGTATTTCTGGGCCAGGTGCCACTTCCACCCTCCTGGCACAGGGTGACTGGTCCCTGGGGTGCAGGTGGTGACTTGCCTGGGATGGAGCCCAGCCAGGATGGGCTCCCTGGATGGTTCCTCTCTTCCAGGAGCCATCTGGGGGCTGTGTGATACAAGCTGGTGACTCTCTCCCTCTTCCTACCTGCAAAACAATCATCAGAGCATCACCACAGGTGGTGAATAAATTCACGGCAGCACAACACCTGGGAGCAGAAAACACTTTCCTTTGATTTGTCCCTTTTTCCAACGCCCTCCCTCTGACTTTGCCTGGGAATGGAAGGTGTTTTGCCCCGACGGGGTTGACTTCAGCTGCCACTGGCTCGTTCCTGTGCAGTCACTGAGGAACAGCTGCTTTCAATTCCCACTGTTTGATTCAACTGCTCATAAAAAGCAACATAAGCTGTTTATAGATGCAAGATTAGATTTGAGCTCCTCTCTGTGTTATTCCTACAGCTCCCATCAGGCAGGATCTGGGCACCTCGTGTCTTTAATGTACTATCCAGTGTTTTAACCTCTTAAAGGACCGTGGTGACAGGGGGAGAAGGGACCCTGCTTCCTCTGGGGTCACGTTTGTCCTTGTCACCACTGTGGCATCAACTCCTGCAGAGGAACGTGCTGTGGTGGAGAGGAATGAGCAGGAGAAAGGCAGAGACCTTCCTGGACTCACAGAGGAAATCCACAGCAAGGACTGGGGGCTCTAGAGCTGCAATATCCCTGCTAGAGCCATGACATCCCTACTATAGCTGTGATATCCCTGCTAGAGCCATGACATCCCTACTATAGCTGTGATATCCCTGCTAGAGCCATGACATCCCTACAATTGCTGTGATATCCCTGCTAGAGCCATGACATCCCTACTATAGCTGTGATATCCCTGCTAGAGCCATGACATCCCTACAATTGCTGTGATATCCCTGCTAGAGTCATGACATCCCTACTATAGCTGTGATATCCCTGCTAGAGCCATGACATCCCTACTATAGCTGTGATATCCCTGTTAGAGCCATGATATTCCTGCCCTGGCAAGCCAAAAGGCTGCACTCTCACTCCTCTATGCAGGGCACAGGCTCTGTATTTAAAACCTCCAGCTCCTGTGCTGACAGCAGTGACACTAAATTAAAACCAAAGTGAGACCTGCAAAGAGACAGACAGAAAGGGAGCAGTGGGAAATGACAGAACTACAGGAAAGTGTAGTTTTCCACGTGAAAAATCCAGCCCCTGAGGCACCCTCAGGGTAAGAGCCTGCTGTGCTTTGCTTTGGGCACCTGCTCTGCCTCTTTAGGATATGAAGCAGAGCTGGTTTGTAGCAGAGCAGGTTGGATTGATGCACCTGAACAGGCACAGTATATATGTCTGTACCTCTCCAGCTATGTACCTCTGAATGTGCCTCCATGCCTCCTCCCCTGGAAAAACTGCTCCTCTCCTCCTCTGGAAAAGCTGAGGATTCCACAGAGTGAGTGGTTTTATCCCACAGACATTTATAAAAGCTTCTGTGGATGCCAGTGAGTGATCCCACAGGCAGACCTGCACTGGAGGAGTCTCTGTAAATCCAGATCTCCAAAGACAACAGCAGACACTGACCTTTTACAGTTTGGATGCTTTACAGCATCCAGGGGACTCTGAGGAGAGGCAGAAGGAACCCCCACACTCAGGAGAGCCTGTATCTCCTCAGGCTGTGATAAGACAGACTCTCATACCAAAGAAGGTCTGGATGTCAGGAGTTCTGTGCCCTGTGGAATGGGAGACAGATGGAGCCAGCTTTCATCCCCAGGAGTTATCAGCAGTGCACAAGATCAGGAGGAGGACGATGAACATGAACTGTGCTCCTTGAAAGGCTCCTCAGGGCCCCAGGCCACGTACACACACATCACCATCATCATCCTCACCAAAGGCCTCTGGGGAGGTGACACTTCACTGGCCTGTTGCTCACCCCCTCGTGTCTGGTGAAATGACTCGAGTCAAGCTGACACTGAGCCAGGTGTCCATCCCAGGGGAAAGCACTGCTCTGTGCCCCGGCTCCTTATTTGTCTCAGGTGGGGGACTGAAGAAAGCTTTGCCTGCTCACACCCTGAAAGCAAACACCTGCAGATTTGCTGCCGATAACAAACACAACTACACCTTTCAGAGACGAGGGGAAAGAGGAAGGCTGAGCCCTCTCTGCTCCACACACAGATTTTATCCTCACGTAAAGATGCATCCCCTGCTCGTGTGTGTTCAGCTGCACATCAGGATCCGGCCTTCGGGCAGCTGAGTGCAAGTGCAAAGCACTGGGAAGAGCAGGACGGAGCACAGAGTCCGTGTGTAGGTGTGTGTAAGGGTGGTGTTGTGGCTGATTGTGTTTCAGGAAGCCCACAGAAGGATTTGGAGAAGGAAGGCCTCTGCTACTTGCAGGTGGCTTTTGGTAGGTCAGTATTTTTAATAACTTGAGGCTTAGCTGTGCATCTTTATCCCATTCTTTTGGGAAAGCTCTGTGTGCCAGGAGACATGGCACCTTCAAACCAAACTGTAACTGGCAAATCAACCCCTTTGTCCCCATACCCCAATCTGTGTGTTTTACTTCTGGATATGAGGGGCTGGAGCGTGTCCAGGGAAGGGAACGGAGCTGGGGAAGGGGCTGGAACAGCTGAGGGAGCTGGGGAGGCTCAGCCTGGAGAAAAGGAGGCTCAGGGGGGACCTCCTGGCTCTGCAACCCCCTGACAGGAGGGGGGAGCCGGGGGGGGGGTCGGGCTCTGCTCCCAGGGAACAAGGGACAGGAGGAGAGGGAACGGCCTCCAGCTGTGCCAGGGGAGGGTCAGGTTGGACATCAGGAGGAATTTCTTCCTGGAAAGAGTGGTCAGGCATTGGAAAGGGCTGCCCAGGGAGGTTTGGAGTCCCCACTCCTGGAGGTGTCCAAGGAAGGAGTGGACATGGCACTGAGTGCTCTGGGCTGGGGGATAAGGTGGGCATGGGGCACAGGGTGGGCTCGATGATCTCAGAGGTCTTTTCCAACCTGAATGATTCCGTGATATCGTGGCTGAACCTCCCTCAGGACCCGTCAGAACAGGACCTGGGCAGTGCTGGCCCCAACCGTGGGAACGGGGACAGGGCCGGGCTGCCTCTGGACACGCCAGCGACGGCAGGAGGGAGCCCTGGGACCAGCACCGCGAGGGACGCGGGGTCTCCCCACAGACCCGGGGAACCCCAGAGCCCGTTTTGTGGCACAAAGTCCAAATTTCTACATCCCGTGGGCACAAAGGGGCCCTGAGGGACGAGCCCCAGGCCCTGCCGGAGCTCCACCGGCCCCTTCACGCTCGGCCATTTCCGTTACCACTCGGCCATCTCCGCCGCGGCTCGGGCGGCTTCGCCCTGCGTCGGCCATCTTCGTCCAGACTCGGCCATCTCCGCCACGGCAGCGCTGCCGAGCGCGGCTCTCCCAGCTGTTTTCCGTCGGCGCTCGGCTCTTTCCGCCCCCGCCTTCGGGTATTTCCGGCGGGCCGTTCGGGTGTTTCCGCCGCCGGTTCGGGCGGACTCGGCGCCCGCCGGCCTCGCTCGCTCCGGTAACGGTCGGTGCGGGTTCAAATGAGCCGCGGCCGGGCCGGGCCCCGCCGGGACTCGCTCTGAGCTGGGCCGGCACCGGGGCCGCGACCGGGACCGCCCCCGCTCGGGCTCGGCGACCAGGAGGCGGAGGCCGGGGAGAGCAGGATGACGGTGCTGCAGGAACCCGTCCAGGTACCGACCCCCGGGCGGCTCAGGCCCCAAGGCCCGGCCCGGCCCGGGTGAGGCCGCCCCGCCCGCGCCGGGGCCGGGGCCGCTCCCGGGGGGCTCCTCGGCCGTGGGCCCGCAGGACCTCCGGCTCCTCCGCCCTCTCTCCCGCCGGGCTTCCCCTTCCAGCCTCCCGGCCCCATCCCCGCGGCCCCGGGACCGGCCGCCCCCGCCCCCGTGTCCCCCCTCGGTCCCCCCGCGGCTCCGCGGCCGGTTGGGCTCCCGGGAAAGGTCCCCCCCCTCCGCCGCAGATCCCCCGGGAGACCTGTTGATACCTCGCTCACCTTGCTGCGTTTGCTGCCGTGTCGTTTTTAAATGCTCACGGCGTGCTCGGCTCCTGCGTGTGCGAGTGAAGGACGTTCCTCCCTCCCTTCGGGTTGGTGGGAGACCTGGGAGAGAAAATAATGTAAATTCCGGTTTTCTACCACGTCTCGGTCTCGCTGCATTTGCCCCGATGGGCTTCCTGCTCTTCCCATCCAAAAGACGTGATTCACACATTTGAGAGTTGCTTTTTCTTTCCGCAGTTGCTTTATGCCCGTTCTCTAACTCTTCGTGATCGTCATTAATCAGTCATCTTATTCATGTTCCCATTCTTTATTTTATTATTATTTTTAGCTTTTTAACAGGCTGTCTCGGGGTTTTTCTTTTCTAGTTACAGCAAGAGGTTCCTGGCACAGGAGTCCTGGCAGAACACGGTTGTGTTCTGTAATGAACACTGTGAGAATTCTTGCTCTTGGCTCTTCTCCTTCTAATGAAAAGGTAGAAGGGGAAGAAAGTCTTCTCCTGTGGAAAACCACTCTTCTGGCTTGACCCTGCCCGTGCAAGGTGGTGACAGTGAGGGCACTCCTGCAGACATGGGCTTTGTGCCCTCGATGCCACCACACTCTGCTCGTCCCCTCTGAGGCCAAGGGTCAGTGCAGCGCTGGAAAAGCTTTTGGCCACCTGGTCCCTCTCCTGCCCTGGTCATCCCGCAGCACTGGTGTTACCCTTGGAGCTGGGCTGGGTGTTTTGCACCAGCTGGGTACTCTAGGAAAACATGGGATTACAATGGGAGAGGAAGCAGGAATGCAGTGCAGAGTGAATGACAGGAAACAATACTGAATGTTTCCGGTGCTGTGCTAATTAGACTGACCAAGTGGAAAATATGTGCTATTCTGAGAGCTCTCTGACAGAAAACTGGGGTCTGCTTTTCACATTTCAGCAAGGAAAAGACCTCTCTAATGCCATTCTCCATTCTTAACCTCTTACCACCCTGGATGTTTTGATGAGGCCTTGCTATGTTGAATGTATTTTTTGAATTAAATATATCTACTTAGATTCTGCTTTCAAATGCCACATCATTCCTTTAGCACTGGTTTTGCTGCTGTCAGCTTTGCTGCTGTTCCTTGCTTACAGCAGCACTGGTAAGTTGAGGAATTATTGGTGACTGGGTGAAGCCCGTTGTGTTTCTGAGTTCCCCGTTTAGCTGAAGTCCATGTACTTAGTTCTGTTTTTCTAATTTTTTAAACACTAGTTCTCATTTTTGTCATTGCAGAGATTTTTTCCTGTCTGTCAGTTCTCTCCCAGCCTTTCAGATGTCTACAGGGCTCAGCATTCCAGGAGAAAATGCCCTCCTTACAGCTGTGACGTTATTTATCTATCACAGCACGATAGATAAATAACAGAATCTATGTTTGGATGTAGCTTTATAAATCTTGGGCTGCAATTCCATGAAATTAACGTCCCAAAAGGCATCCTGGTCGCTGGTTAGATTTTTACTAACTTTTTTTTTTGTTCTTTTAAGTTGAACAAAACACCAGAGTTTACAGCTCTGATGTGGTCGATTTAAAACCCTTCTGCTCCAACATAAAACTTTGTGTCCCGTGTGTGCTGAGGAACAGGCTGGATGCCTTCCAAATACTTCTGAAAAAAACATCTTGGAAACAAAATGAGCACTTTGCTTGGAATTTAGCTGTTCAAGGTGATCATCTGCTGTGACTCACTAGAATGGTGCTTGAACTTGGCTGGGAACGTGCAGCACCGAGGTCTGTGTGTTCAGGGGGCAGAGTTTGGTAACTGGGGAAGGCAGCACAGCTCAGCCAGAGCTCTCCTCCCCTCTGCCCACCCTGGAGACGTCTTAAATCATGGTAGAATCTGCTTAGCATGGCAATACAGGCTAAAAAGCTTTGAAACTCGTTTCCAAGGCTATATAACTGTCAGAAGAGAACGTCTCCTTAAGAGCTCTTTGGCTTAGAAATGAAGTGACACTTGGAAAATGGACGGGATTTTGTGGATAGAAGATGGACCTGTCTGAATGTGATTTTATTTTCTTGCTCTCCTCTCTGAGAATGCTTCACTGCAGGGCTGTGGCTGGTATGGTAGCTTTGGAATTCCCTGTTCACTTTGCAAAATAATTATTTTTAAAATGAGTGTTTAGGACCTGGAGGTTCATCTGGTCTGTGAGCACGCTCAAATAAAATTTGGAAACGCTTCCAGCTTCTCTCCTGTCCATGACAGAGCTCTGAGAACAGGGCTGAGAACACTCTCCTGTTGTGGTTTAGCAATTGTTGGGTACCACTAATGCCATGTAGATGCACTGTGCCTCTGCTAGAACAAACTAAATTACTGTGCTATAAAGAGATCGATGTTCCTGTCCGAAAAGGTGCACAAGAAATCTTCTTTTTTGAGGCACAGTCATAGTTTGGACATCTGTTCTCGTGGAAAATCATCACTGCATAGGTATGGCTGATTCCCTGCTGCCTTCCTTTTCCTCCTCCTGCTCTTTTAGGAGAGTATATGTGAGGATCCAGGCTTCAGCATTGATCAGTTCAGGGCACGAGGCACCTTTTGGGCTGCAAAGTGACAGTTGCTATGTAACAGGGATACTGTTCTACCAGCCACTTGTGCTTTCACTGGGACTCTGCTCAGCAACGATTGTTATTTGAGCTGGTGTGTAGTGTAACTCTCACAATGTGGCTGTGACATGGCCCCAAATCCCTTGTGTCCCCTCTTAGCCTTTGGCAGGATTGTTCCTGGCAGCTTGCTCTTGTTTGAGAAGTCAAATGACCCTGATTTCACCACTCCCACCCCCACACCTTTGTTTTGTAAGCTCGCTGAGCCTTGCAAAGGCAGGATTTTTAACCTGGAGATGACACAACTTGGCTGGATTCATCTGAATGTCACTTGTGACTTGGTAAAGGAGCTTCTGGGAGCAAAACACAAAGACCTTGGGCTGCTCTCACTTGGATATGGCCTGAAAGATTTCAGCCCTGACCTTCTGCCTCAGTTTTTGTACTGCTCTGTCTGCTTGGAAGCCTGGGAGTGCTTCAAGGTAACAGGGAATAATCAGTTCAGGCAGGCTCTGAGGCTGCACTTAGATAAGTGTGGAATACAACCAGAGAGACATAATAAGGAGCTTGTATTATAACAATCAAACTAAGAGAATTCACTTTCAAACGCTTTAAAATCCTTTCGCACGAGCTTAAAAGCAGCAGTTGGCTATTTAAGTGTATTCTTGGGACCTACTGATAGGAGAAAACAGTGTCTCTGTGGAGATTTTGTGTATAATGTTTGTGTGTAGTCCTTGGGAACTCTGGTGTGTGCTGTTCATGACGGCTGTGTGGGCATCCTGCGAAGAGAATTCGCGGTTTTCACACCCTGTGTTTGTCAAGTTTGTGTTGGAAGAGGGAGCATATGGTACATGTAACTCTGTGATGTTTGGATATTTTTTTTTTTTTTAGATGAAACTGGCGCTTGCCTTTCCCACCGGGAATTGCATCGCAGGCTGGTGTTGCTTTCATTCTGGGAGATCTCTTCTAGTTTTGGAGTGTTTGATGGGTATCAGAAGCTGATTCTGCTTGTCTTTGGTTGCTGGTGAATATTAGAGAAATCCTAGACCACTGTGCCTTGAGTTCAGATCTTGTTTGGGATCGTTAATGGCAAAACTGCTGCAAAGTGGCTCTTTGCTGCTGGTGGGAATCGGCTTCAGAACTGGAGCAAAGACATCAGATGGGAAGGAGCTGCTGTCCTGATCCCAACCCTCGGAGCACCAGCCTGCACACCACCCTTGTAGATGGGGAGGAAAGGCTAAAGAGATCTTAAAAGACATCATTTTTCCCATCTCATCCCATTTCTATGGATAACAGATGACTTTTAACCTGATCTGAAGGAAGTTGGCTGAGTAGTTTGTGTGAAACCCTCTCATGCCAGCCCTGGCCTTTGGCTGGACAGCTTTTGTAGTTCAGCTGATGGTGACAGAAATGCAAGTTACTGTGACCCTGCTTTAGTGGTGCACAGTTTGTACACCTGTGTGTGTGTTTGGATTTCACTGGAGTGCTGCCATCTTTCCAGTCTGCACAAATGTTGGCTGTCACAGACTCAGGCTTGGTGTTCATGAAAAAGAAAAGAGCACCCGTAAGGAGGGAGCTGGATTTGACTAAGTGTGGGTCCATGAGCTGAATTCAGGAGTAGATTTTGTTCTATATGGCTGTATGTATCAATTTGTCCTTTTAATTTACATTGCACTCATTCTTGGGTGCTGCTTCACAAGCCTAATTAGTGGCAGTGAAGAGGTGGCTGATGAGCCAAGACCCAAATAAAACACCACACGAAAAGCAGTGGATCACGTTCATCAGGGAACACGGCTGCCTCTTCAGAGAAAATCCTTTATATGTAACATTCTCAACCAACACAAGTCTTATAATGACCATCTTGGACACTGAGAAGTTTCTAGTCCTGTTGGGTTTTGATTTGGCATCTCAGGAGGGGATGGTTTAATGGGATATGCTCTGGTGACCAGTTGGGGAGGTGGGTTTGCTTCCACGTTTACCTAATGTGTTGTCTGGTGTAGTTTGCAGTAATTCCTGCTGAGTTTTGCACCAGGCTAAAACTCACTGTTTCTGAGGTTTTTGGAAGATTGTGTCTGGTAACTAGTGAACAACATTCTTGGATTGGTTCATGACTTCAGTGCTAATTTTGGTGGGTTTTTCTTAAGTCAAAACAGCTACAACTTGACCGGCGCGTTCATCCTTCCTCCCCCCCTTTTTTTTTACGATTCCATAAAACCAAATTGAACTTCGCCTTTTGCCAGTAAGAGCTAATGAATTTTGCATTTTTAAATCTCCCTCTAAATCCAGGTTATCCCCTTGCCTTGCAGGCTGCTATATGGCAAGCACTTAACCACTACGCGTACCGCGATGCCGTGTTCCTGGCAGAGAGGTTGTATGCAGAAGGTAGGTATTTTATAAATATGTTTTGGTGGGGTTTTTTTTTCAATTTTAAATTTAGGATTTTTGAGCCTCTGCTCCAGCTTTGGTTTTTCTTCCTGTTCTGATAATGAAGTGTCACCTTCTGCTTGGGGAAAGCAGAAGAATACCTCACAACTAGGTTGGAAAATCAAACCAGGAAATGTCAGCAATGTCATTTTACAGTAAAACCTCCTTAAAAAAATTAGACTTGGAGTTGTGTGTTTAAGTGCAATGTTTACAGTGATCTGTTTTCTGGTATCAAGTGGGAGAGTGTTGCTTTTTTAAATAACCTTAAGCATTGCATGTCTTCCAAGGGCACTTGAGGATAAGGTGCAGCACACGAATTCTGCAAATTGGCTTGACATTGAAAGCTGTCTTTGCTAATAATGGTGTTCAGATACGTTGGTTGGTGTGTTGGCTGAAAGAGAGAATCTTGTGATGGTGAGAGAGACTGAGACAGTGAGAATCAGAACATGGGACAGCTGTCTGCAGTTGAATTCCTGTTAATTGTTACTTCATTGTGGTGCTGTCGGGTCTGGGATGTCTTGGATACTGGGCAGGCAGCAGTAGCACATCTCCACGTTTTCCTGGGACTTTCAAATACGTTTTTTGTTGTGTTTTAGCCCATTTTCTTCCTTTAACCTTTCTTCCATGACCTCAGATAAGCTTTTTGATCTTTGATATTGGTGGCCAACTTTTCTTCTCTACTTTGAAAGGTATTGTCCCCTAATCACTATTAGGAAGAAACTCCAAACCCATATAATTAAATATAATTTCTCATGCTAAACAACCTGAGCTTATAATGTTAATTAAGCTGTATAAGCTATTTCATGCTCTGTTTTGTAATGAAATGTTTTGCTTCCCCGTCTGCCATGCTCTCAATGCACTTCTTTACAATGCAAGAACAAATCTAATTTTTTTATTAAAAAAACCCCTCTTTTTGTTAATGTCAAGGTTACAAATGAAGTCCTGGGTGTTTGATCTGGTGCTCAAATGAGAAGTGTTGTGAGGAATATTATGGAACTCGATAATCCAGTTGTGCATGAAGGGAAATAGTGTTTTAGGGGTGACAGAAATGGTAGGTTGAAGGCAATTTGCAAGGATGTAGGAACGAAGAGAATCCCCTTTCTGCAGCAGCCAAGAGGAAAAATATCTGCCTTAATACTGACACATCTTTACAGAATAATTCTCTGCAGGAGAACTTCAAACAGCTTTTTTTCAGTGACCAGCAGTGCTGAGGGAAAGCAGCAGGAACGCTGTCACTTGGTGCAAGCAATTAACTGCTAACAAAACATCTGGCTCCTGGTTAAAATAAGTAGTTACTCTGCAGAGTAGAAGCTACAGAACTTGAATACTGTGGCTCCACGTTGGCAGCAGTGATTTCACCCTGAGAAGAACTTCTTTTAAGTCTACCTGCAATTACTGTCCTTGTGGGGACATCTGTGGCTTGGTCGTTTCCCAGAGCTCTGAGCCTGTTAAAGTAGTGGATAAAAATTGATTTAACTTGAATTTTCAAAAAGATCTTCTGGTGTTTTTAGCATAAGGCCAATAGAATGCCCTCTGTTTCCATTGTCACTGTCTAGGTGATGACTTAAAAGAGTCAGTTTTCAGTGTAGCAAAGGGTTTGGGCAGATTTCCCAAAGAGGTTTCTGTACAGTGCTCATATTGATTTTTCTGAAGAGGTCCCTGTAGGTGGATGGACAAAATTGTGTCTTTTACTGCTGAATTCCATTTGCAGGATAGTGTGTTCTGACCAGTATAAAGTAATGTGGGTTTCTTAATTGTTTAGAGTTTGCAGTTGCTTGTGTTCATGGACAGCCTTTGATTTAAAAATATATCATCGTGTGAGGGTGGTTTGAGTGGAACATTTGGGGAAGTCCAAAGAATGGGCTAAGCCACCATGGCTGTACAGAATCTGGGAGTTTACAGGAAGGATTCAGAGGGTTAGTTCTGTCCTTTGTGCTGTAATCACAAGTGAAATCAGGCAGTCTGACCTCAATCTGAAAACTGGATGGCAAGTCAAGCTCTTTGAGTAAAACATCCTCAACTTGGGAAGAGGATTTATAGAATCACAGAATAGTTTGGGTTGGAAGGGACCTTAAAGACCTTCCATTTCCACCCCCTGCCCTGGGCAGGGACACTTCCAACTAGCCCAGGTTACTCAGTGCCCCATCCAGGTTGTAGGAGAACTTGTCCCTGTCACTAATTACCAACATGAAATAAATAAAGCATCTGAATGGTGATGGTTAAGCCACGTTCCCAATCAAATAGTGAGGGTAGGCAGCAAAAAGGACAAGACTCAGTGTTGGGGAAGAGGTGACTGAGTTTAATAGTCATTAAAATCATCAAATGTGCTCCACTGAGTGATGTGAAGGTAAAGCATTGAGGGCTTTAGAACATGAACAGAAGTAAAATTGCAGACACAGAAAGACTGCTTGAAATTGGGCTTAAAACTGGCTACTTGGGCTGGAATAGATCTTCCTTCTGAAAGTTGTTGTACTTCCTGACAGCCACGGTTGTGCCAGTGTTTGTGCACTGCTTAAACCAGTGCAAAGTGTCAGTGGGAGGTGTGGTGATACTTTGAGCCAGGTCTTGGGGTGGCCAAAAGGTCGTTAAAGCAGCTCTGGAATGGCTGCTTTGCTTGGCTTGCTGTTGTTTTTACAGCCAGCTGGCTAATCACTTCTTTAGGTTGGGTAGCCAGAAGGCTCAAAGTTCTCTTACAGCAGTAGATATTAGGGGTTGTTCTGACTATCCAATGGCATGGAAGTTTGGGAAATGCCAATGCATAAAGAAATGCACTTCGTTTACCAATTAATTTCTCTGATATACCCATTTTTTTCCATCTTATCCCAGCTGGCTTTTACTCCCTGCCTCTAAATTCTTTGTAGTAACACGATGAACAGCTAACTGATGATTTTTTTAAAATGTATTTTACTCTTCAGTACACTCAGAAGAAGCACTGTTTTTACTGGCCACGTGTTACTACCGCTCAGGAAAGGCCTATAAAGCTTACAGGCTCCTAAAGGGACACAGCTGTACCACTCCCCAGTGCAAATACCTGCTTGCAAAATGTTGTGTGGACCTCAGCAAGTAAGTAAATCCTTTATGTTCTTTCCAGGGTTTACAAATGCATTTGTTTTTTTAGCTTGGGTTTCTCTCTGAAAGCTGTGGTGTTGCATGAACTAGAAATTCGTTGGGCCTTCAGCTCTCAGTTGAATTCATTTTGCCTTCAGATATGAACCTAACAAGCATTAACTTATATTGCAGAAGCCTCTAAAAGGTGTTGAATAACTTAGACAGGAGTTGTCAAGCTGTGTAGAGGGAGAAAACATTGATTGCAGAGATGACTCATCAAGTGTTTGCTTTGGGTTTGTGTTTCTCTGATATTTTGCCTATTTCCTGAAGTGTTTCCAGTGTGTTTCCATTAAGGATCAGCCACTTCCCTCAAACACTGAGCTTGTTCCTCTTATGCAGTAACTGCTAATGGGGGTGAGGGAAGAGGTGGCAGACAGGACTCTGTTTTTAAAAAAACCACGACAAACCAGCCTGGAATCCACATCCAAGAATCCTGTATTCAACATCAGAATTAATCTTTACAGAATCACACTGTCAAGGTGTCCTGCAGGTTTTCTGTGGTCTAACAGCAAGATTTTTTTTTTTTACTGAAATGGCTTGAGCTTCAGGCTCTGATGCCCTCAGAGTTTGTTCATAAGGGTATTTCATGTCTACACAGATTTTTTTTCAGCTCAAATGCAGGCAGCTGTCTGGCTGAGGTGCAGATTTGAAAGGGTGAGGCATCAAGAAAGGCAAAAACTTGTCCAAACTGCTTAAAATGCAGTGGGGGTTCTTTACAGAAGCTTAAATGTCTCTCTACAAAGCAGCTTGTGTGTTTTTGTTTTTTTTTTTTCTTTTTGGTTTGAGTTTTTTGAGTGTCCCTCTTTCAATGTCAAAAAGAAATGTTTGATTTCCTTAGAATTGGTCAGGGGATGTTTGGAGTTTCACATGCTATGATGTGATTATTCTGCAGGATTTGTGATCCTCCTCATGACATGTAGCCAAACACAGCCCTCTCCAGAGTGTGCAGGGAAAGCTCCTTAGTCTTTGCTACTCTCTTTCGTGGGCAAGTCCTTTGACATCTTTAGAGTAGCCAGGATGTCTTGACTTGTTGTGCTTCCTTTGGCACTCCTGGAGCTGTCAGGGCACAGATTTCTTTGCACCTTCCATTGAAAGGGAAATCACGTTAATGTTCTGCTTCAAAAGGGCCCGGTGGAATAAATTCAAAGCTGATTGTTCTCTCCCTTGCTTTTACAAAATCTGCTGTGTGCACATAGTACATCAGCTCCTGTAAGATTTCTTAAACATATTCCTCAGGATTTGTTACGTTTAACTGTCACTGCTGGTAGTTCTATGAGCTCATTTACACAGCTCTGCCTGGCAGTGGTCAGTGCTGGTAGAAGCACCTTCCTACAAGTAAAATTTCAAGTGGGGGCAAGAAGAGGTGATTTGCTCGTGCAGGTGTTGGTCTCAGATGCCAGAAGATGCCCAGAAGTTGCATAAAGCCATTTTCAAACCTGAGACTGAGTGGCCCATTCCATGTGAGTGGCACCACTGGCTGCAAACTGAGCTTTGTTCTCCTTTTGAGCCCTTCTTGCAAGAAAGCAGGGCATTAAAACCCAAAATACCTGCCACATCCCAAAATTGGATCTTAGCTGAGCATGTGGGACCTTACAGATTGTATTTCTCTAAGAAACAAAGCCAAATTAAGCCTTGTCTTAGCTTGCTAGTACGTAAAGCACCTTCAAAAATCGAGTGTCTGAAAGACTTTCTTGTCCTCCATCCCAAGATCAATCACTTTTGGAAAAGTCCTGTTGTATTTTGTGTCTCTGGTTTTGGAGTGGGGTGGGATTTGGGGTTTGGTTTGTTTTTCTTCCCTCCCAGTAGAGCTGTTCGGCTTCAGAGTCCTGAACCTCCCTGTTGTAGAGGAACCCATCAATTATTTAACATTCATTTGCAGGAACTTTTGGGTTGTTGTTTGAAACCTGTGAACACTGACAGTGGATTTCTGTTTTTGTTTGCAGCAGGGTGAAAACACTGGACTGCCAGTACTGTGAGCCTTGTAACCCCTTTAAACCTCTTGTTTTTTAAAAAGGCTTGCAGAAGGAGAGCAGATCTTGTCTGGTGGAGTGTTGAATAAACAGAAAAGCCATGATGACATTGTTATGGAGTTTGGTGACTCTGCATGCTTTACACTCTCCTTACTGGGACATGTCTACTGGTAAAGTTGCTTTTTCATTTTGCCCGATAAAACTTGGGGAGTTTTCACTTGGCCAAGCCCAATTTTAGTCAAACACACCTTTAGTCACCACAGGACACACCTGTCTCTGGGTTACACCGTTTTGGAGCATGATAGAGCAGTTTGTGGAATCCACCTAATTTGGGAATGCAAGAATGGTTTGTTTTTCACCCAAAACTTCTGACTGAAGACACAAATTCCTCTTTCCCAGGTGGTTAAATATGCAATCCCAGAGTCTGCTGTTTTGGGGATTTTACCTTTGGATTTGCTCTGTGTTCTTCCCTAAGAAAGACTCTCAGGGCCTGTTTTTCAGTGTTGCCATTTAGATTTTTCTGTGTCTGTTTTGCACATGTGTAGCTATAACCTTCAAATCAAAGTGCTGAGGATGCCAGGCAGAATAATTTGACAACTTTAAGCATTTTACTTTTGCCCAGACCCAAGAAAGGTTTCAGTAAATGTGAATGATTGAATAGGAGTAGTGGGGTGCTTGGATTCTTCTCTAGTATATCTGTTCTCAATTATATTCAGAACTATTTCTTTGTAGCCAAATCCTTAAATGTTCAGTTCAGCCCCTAATTTAGATGCAAAAATATTATCCATAGATATTTAAAATGGCTGCAAGGCTGGCAATCAGGTTGCTGTTTGCAAAAAAGAAACAAGCTGTTGCAAAGAACAGCATTTTCCTAAAATGAAAATTCTCAAGCTATTCTAGTGCTTATGTAACTTTTTTTTTTTTTTTTTGACAACTGTGTCTAAATATGTCAAATAACTTCAAAGGAACTCAATATTTCTCTGTGGCTTGAAAAATGAGGAATGTTGCTGTGCCTCTCAACATGTTTTTTTGTTTTTCAACTCCTCTTCTGGAAAGCTCTCTTGAACAAAAGTGCTGTTCTTAAGTTTCCCCCATGAACTGTTCCATTCTTTTTTGCAGCAAGACAGACCGGCTTGCCAAAGGATCAGAATGTTACCAAAAGAGCCTTAGTTTAAATCCTTTCCTCTGGTCCCCTTTTGAATCACTATGTGAAATAGGTGAGTCTGCAGCCCTGTTTTACTCCTGAGGATGTTTTCTCTGTGTCTGGTTCTGTCAGCCTTTCCCTTCTGCCATCACCCCAACAAGGATTGTTCTGCTCCTTGTCCACAACTCGGCAGGGAAACGGCAGCAGAATTCTTTGGAGAGGTTTTGTGAGCAGCAATGAGTTTAAAACTCTTTGCCAGTGTTTAGGACTTTTGTATTGTTTTCTTCCATTTTCACTGTTTATACATTTTTGGGTTTAACAATACCATGTGTTCTCCAACCTACAGACCCTTAGAAACTGTGTTTCTGAGAATAGCTTGAAAAAACGAGCCTATTTATAAATTGATTGTCAAGGGGTTTGTAGTGGAAGAACACTTCAGATTTAGTGTCAGGGGGCCCAGAGCAACCTGGTCTAGTGGAAGGTGTCCCTGCCCATGGCAGGGGGTTGGAACTGGATGATCTTTAAGGTCCTATCCAACACAAACCATTCCATGATTCTGTGAAATGTGTTAAAATACTTTGTCCCTGTCCTTGTTTCAGACTGAATATTTAGACCGTAGACTCAGGAATAACTATTTGAATCTCCTTCCACTCTTACAGGTGAAAAGCCAGACCCTGACCAAACATTTAAATTAACATCTTTACAGAACTTCAGCAGCTGTCTGCCCAACACTTGCACAACGTTGGTGTCTAATCACAACATATCCCACAGGCAGCCCGAGAGTGTCCTCATGGAGACGCCGCAGGACACAATTGTGAGTGTTGCTGAAGTGGTTGTAAAATCACTTGCTGAAATCATTTAAAGCAGTTTTTCCAGCTTAACTGAGAAGTGTTAACGAAACCACACTGTGAGTATTTAACAGCTGCCTTCCATTCTTCAGGAGTTGAACAGAATCAACTTAGAATCCTCCAATTCAAAATATTCCTCCTTGAACTCGGATTCTCCCGTGTCTTACATTGACTCAGCTGTGATTTCGTCAGATTCTGTCCCTCTGGGCTCAGGAACTGCCATATTGTCTAAACAGGCTCAAAATAAACCAAAAACTGGACGGAGTTTACTGGGGGGACCTGCAGCTTTGAGCCCACTAACTCCAAGGTGAGTCCTTGGGATGGACACCAGCTGTTGGGAATTTGGGATTTGGAACAGGGAAGCTGCTGCACACTCAAACACACATGTTGATGGAATATTGTACATAATGCTGCAGAACTGAAACCTAAACAACTTCAGTAACTGCTCTTGGTCCTAGCATTGGGCTCTTCTGGTTTTTAAACGAACAGTTGGTGGTTTGGAGAGGAATTGTTGATTCAGGATATTGCTTTATTGCCATGTTCACACTGGAAAAATCTCTAAAGGAATATAGTTCTGCTCTGGAGTAAATATATTATGAAAGGCTACCCTGAAGAGCTTTTCTTGAAGAATAGGTGTCTTGTAAAGAGCATGTTGTGTCCCATATATCTCATTTAGGCAGCATTAAGGTACAAGCCATGGATGGTCTGTGTCTTGGGTGTTTTGCAGGCAGGCAAAGTTCTGTGTTCTTTGATTTCAGGAACAAGAATATTTTCTATGAAAGTGTCTTTTATAAATGAGGGTTTTAAGATATAGAGGGTTAACATAAATCAGTGAAGTAGTTCTGAAATACAAGTTGATCATCTGTGTCAGGGCAGGGTCAGGTTGGATCTCAGGGAAAGGTTCTTCCCCCAGAGGCTGGTTGGGCACTGCCCAGGCTCCCCAGGGCAGTGGGCACGGCCCCAAGGCTGCCAGAGCTCCAGGAGGGTTTGGACAATGCCCTCAGGGGCAGGGTGGGATTACTGAGGTGTCTGTGCAGGGCCAGGGGTTGGATCAATGATCCCTGTGGGTCCTTCCCAGCTCAGGAGGTTTTATGATCTGAGTCTCTGTTTAACCCCAGCTCTCCTGCTCTGACACTGACCCTTCCTCTCTGTTTTGTTCTCAGCTTTGGAATTTTGCCACTAGAAACCCCAAGCCCTGGAGATGGAACCTATTTACAGAACTACACAAACTCCTCCTCTGTAATCGATGTGCCATCCACCGGAGCACCTTCAAAGAAGGTATTTTGCATTCTGGAGTAGAGTTGTTGCTCCAAGAGCTTGACATTGCAGTGCACTCTAAAGAACAGTCCATAATACAGATAAAAAAACCACGTGAGCTGAGTTTTTTCCCCACCCAAAATGCACAGACGTGTCCAGGCTGCCCTGCTGGTGTTGCTGGAGTAACCTGAGGAAGTTGCTATGTTTTCTGTCACCTCCTGTCACAGAGAATTGTATAAATATTGATGCTTCTAAACAACAAAAGATTCAAACTTTTCAGTGTACAGGGTGGAGCATGAAGACTTACAGTTTTAAGTTTTATTTAATTAGTGTATTTTCAGAAGGAGCTGAAGCTCCTGTTTTCTTGCAAGCAGTTCTTGAGTTCTGGTTTAGAGACCAGAGTAATAAAAGTCCTGCTGGTGGTCTGTGGGGAACTGAGAGAATGGTGCAGTTTCACTCAGCCAAGTCTTGTGTAGAGGAAACTAAAAATTGTCTTTTTTTCACTCAGGAAGAAAGTGCTGTAGTTGCCATAGTGATAAATGAGAGGTGGAATGCTGGTGACTGTTGAAGAACTATTTGTTCCTTTTTAAAACCTGAGGATCTTTCCCTGTGATTTTAGCAAATCTAGAAGTTGCATGGGGGGGGTGTTGGTGTTTTATAGGGGGGCAACTCTTTGAAGTAAAAACCCAGTGCAAATAACACTCTTGAATCCCTTGAAAAGTCGAATTTGAATTTCCACTTTTTTACTCTGGACAAATCTCAGTGCCCATCTTGCTGTGCCCTTCTGAAAGGGAAATTTGGGAGCTGTGCTAAAACAGTCTGCTGGGAGAGAGTGCTCCATGTGGATCCAATTCCCAGCCTGGAGTTGCTCAGGGCCAAGCAGTTTTCCATGGCACACTTGAAAACAGTGGATTGTGCATGTGCAGGGAGGTGAATTTCCACGAGCCTGAAAATGGAAATAGTGCAGTGCAGTTCAGAGGGCTGGAAAGTTGTGATGGAATCCAGGGGGATTTGCTGCTGTTTTGTTGCTTTGAGTGTGACACAACAGCACCAAGGTACAAGTTTACTGCTCCATCCTTATCCCCTCTGCCCAAATGCATCAGTGCTACTGCCAAAACACAGGTATTTAATACATTTTAGTACAGTTCTGGGCTGTGCTTTGCCCAGTGCCAGGGATGACTGGGCCAGTGTCAGTTCTGCTCTCGGTGCTGGGCGAGGTTCGGGGGAGCTGTGGGAGCCCGTGCCTGGCTGAACCCAGGCAGTTTCCTAGGAAACACTTATGTAAGGGAATGAAACATCAGGATGGATCCAAAGGCTTCCTATCTGAGTGGGCAAGTGTGCTTGGGGCTGCCTAAACTGCCCTCTGATAACAGGAACTGGGGAGGACAGAGCAGAGGTTGGGTAATGCATGAATCAGCATTGCTGGTGCTTCCCTGATCCCACTTGTCCTTTTCTGGGGTCTTAAGGAACATCCCTTCCAACCAGCCATCACTCAGTTGAATGTTGGTGTCCCTGGAGTGGGCAGAAAGAGATTTTTTTGTTGTTGTTGTTGTTTTGAAGCTTTTCTTTTTAGGAGGAGAAGAATCTGTTCTGAGCCCATCAGACACTGAATTTCCCCCTGCCCTCGTTCCTTGGGTCTCAGGTCCACAGTTAAGTTGTCACAGCTCCAAGTTCCCACACCTCAGCTGTGCCTGGGGAGGCATCAAAGTGCACATTTTATATCTTCAGAGAGTTAAGACAGTGTTTTAGTGCTAACTCATGTTACCTGCTGGCAAATAAAAGGCACCAAAGCGTGTGTGTGCACAGTGTTGCTCAACTGCCTTGTAATAACTTGGCTGAAGGTGTTTATCCCTTGATTTTCTGTGCTGCATAATTCAGGTCCCTTCTTGATGAAGCAGGTTAGTTCTGTGTCTGCAGTAAAGACTTAAATTGGGTAATTCTGATTTATGCTATAGACAGGTGTGTTAAAACAGGCTCAGGTGCTGTGCAGTGTCAGTGGGGAATGGGTGGGATTGTAATAGGATAACTCAAAAATCTTTTTCTTTCCATGGTTTATTTTTGTACAACTTTGTGCAAAGAAGGAACTTGAAATATGACATCTTTTAATTCCCTGTTATGCTGTCACAAATATTTTAGCATGCAGTTTCTTGCCACTAGGTGGAGATTTTATATCTTTTAAATAATGTGCATAAAGCTGATAAACTTTATTAAGTTCATCATAAACTGACAATTTAACGGGTAGAATGAGAAATACTTTTGATGGTTTCTCCTTGGGATGGGAAGAGGTGTCAGTAATAAGTGGCTTCTGGATGGAATTGTAATAGGATAACTCAAAAAATCTTTTCCTTTCCATGGGGTTTTTTTGACAACTTTCTGCAGAAAAGAAATTTTAAATATGACACCTTTTAATTCCCTTTTATTCTCACATAAATATTTTTAACATGTAGTTTCTTGCCACTAGATGGAGATTTTATATCTTCAAATGATGTGCATAAAGTTTGATAAACTTGGTGTTATTAACAGACAGAATGAGAAATACCCTTGATGGTTTCTCCTTGGAAGGGGTGAACTCTTCCCCTTTATTGAAATAATTCCCTTTCTGCTCCTCAGGCAGTTTTTGGTGGGCAGGAGAGGTTGGGTTTGGTGTGGCAGAGATGGAGATTCCTCAGTAGCATAATAACAAACCTGTAGAAACTCTGTGTTGTGCAGACTGTCAGCAGGATAAGCCAGGCTGGGACAAAATCTGTCTTCTCCCAGAGTGGGAACAGTCGGGAAGTCACTCCAGTTCTTGTTGCACAAACACAGAGCTCTGGTCCACAGACAAGGTAAGAAATCAAGTCATCTTGGCATTGCCTTTTGCTTCTGTTTTCTTGAAGGAATTTGGTGCTTTATTTGCCCAACTTGTGTGGGGTGTTCCTGCAGAATTCCTCTTTGGGTGAGGAAGTGTGAGGTTCTTTGTTAGGTGAAATAACTCCAGTTATTTGTTGAGGTAATTTAAATTAAACAGTTGAATCTCCTGTGCAGTTACACCGTTTTCATCAGTAAATAAATAGCTGGAAGGAAGCTCTGCTCTTATTCTTGACATGCAACAAGTAAATTTGGGGTTTTATCCCTTGAAATGGGAATATCTGTGCTACAGTACTTGAGCATTTCTGTTTAAAACAAATATAAAAGCTGTTATTATTAAAAAGAGGAGCAAAGGACTGTGTTTTTTTAATGTGCAATTGTTTTATTTTTGGTTTCCAGTACAACACCTCAGGTATTGAGCCCCACAATTGCTGCTCCACCAAACTCACTGCCTCGAAGAAGCTCTCGCCTGTTTACTAGTGATAGTTCTACAACAAAGGTAACAAACCTCATCCTTTGGGAAATTTGGGGCTTCTAACCCATTCCACTGTACCAGCTCTTAATTTCCAATATTTATAGCAATTTTAGCAGCTTAAGAACAGATTCTTTAGTGATTCTTTAGTGTTATATATCATTTTACACGATTCACTCAGGTTTAGTTTTCTGAATTTAAAAGACTCTTTGATTTGTAACTCTCACTCTTCTTACTTGCAGGAAAATAGCAAAAAATTAAAAATGAAGTTTCCACCTAAGATTCCAAACAGAAAAACAAAAAGTAAAACAAATAAGGGAGGAATAACTCAACCAAACTTAAATGACAGTTTGGAAATCACCAAACTGGACTCTTCCATCATTTCAGAAGGGAAAATTTCCACTGTTGCACCACAAATCCAAGCTTTTACGCTCCAGAAGGCAGCAGCAGGTCTGTTTGAACACTACTGGACCATAGTAAAATTGAATATATCTATTTTTTTTAATGTTGAATGAAAAAATAATGTTGCTTCAGCGTTCCTTTGTTTCCTGTTTCATTTAGCCTGCAGCTCTCACCTTTTGTATGATTATAAAAACTCATTTGATTCAGTATCTTCTTAACTCACAACATGTGAAGAAGTGTTAAAAGTGGCTAATTGTCAGCAGATATATCTTGCAAGCTTGTTCTTGTTAATTATTAAAGTATTTTCTAGTTATTGATATATAAAGTCTTATAAATTACATCTAGTATATTAATTATAATTGTACAATATCTTATACTGTTATAATTATATCAAAACATTATATTACAAAATATTAATAGAATAATATAAATTATTGTAAAGGACTAATGATTCAAGTATTATCCTTGGAAGCTCAAAGGAGTTGCTCATAACCCAGCCATCTTCCCTCAAAGTGGGGTTTATGTGGTCTGTTCTCCCTTCATATTTCCCTTTTGTTTAAAAACAAGTTCTTTATTGAGACTGTGAGAAAAATCTTAGACAAACTGCTGAATTCCTCCCTTTTGGCTCAGCAGTGTTTCCAGGCAGCAGGAAGATGTATCCATGGCTACCACGTGGCAACTGTGCTCAGAGCCAGTGAAATGCTTGAAAAGCTGCTGGAAATGCAGAATTCCACTTGCCCTGAGCTCCAGAGTTCCTTAGGAACTCGTTCCCATCTGACTTCCCTCGCAGAGGTTGATATTCAGAATATCATGCCCAGGTTAGGAGCGTCTAAGGCTGTGTTTGGAAAGAGGTTTTTCACAGGCAAATTCCAGAGCCACAACGGAGAGCTTTTGGGATGAGCAGCTTCAAGGAAATAAATCTCAGCTGTTCTTCCTTTCCTTTGCCACTCTTTACTTACTGTGTTTTTCTCCCAGAAGGTTTGATGAGCCTTCTCCGGGACATGGGGAAGGGTTATTTGGCCTTGTGTTCCTACAACTGCAAGGAAGCGATAAATATCCTGAGCCACCTGCCCTCCCACCACTACTACACGGGCTGGGTGCTGTGCCAAATTGGGAGAGCCTACTTTGAGCTGGCAGAGTACATGCAGGTAGGACCTGGGGGGTTGGTTTTCCTCTTTCCACTTTCCTTTGGCAGTTTTTTTTGCACGAAACCTGCGGAATTCCCGCGAAATCCGTGCGAAGTTTGCGGTTGTGATAAGTGTGGAAATATGAAGGCTATAGATGGAGTGGATTTAGATGTTGAATCTGCATCAGTAGAGCTTCATCACTGAGCTTTCCTGGAGGTCTCTTTTCATATTATTTGCTCTTGCACCCAACTATTGGGGTCTCCTCCTTGTCTCTTCCCCGTCAGCTGTGCTGATGGAACTGGTTGTACAGTGTTGTAAATCAGATCACTGAAACAATCTGAGCCCTAAACCAAAAACCTCCTCTGTGTTTTAGTTCATTCAGATCACATCAGTGACCCAGTTTCCCTTTCAGCCTCAGCAGCACTGGCACAGCTGAGGTGGTGGCAAACTGCTTCCAAAACAGAAGTGAGCAGTTCAGGGTAACCCCACAGATTAACTCTCCTTGGCTCTGTTGTTCCTGGCAGTTGATGTGCCCGATTTTTTCAAATTTTTGAAACACTTTTTGGCAGAATGTGTGCAGGAGACAGACCCAGAGGGTTTCAGAGGGGGTTTTTAAACTGTGAGATGGAGCCTGTTGGGCTGCTTAATAGTTGATTTGCAAAGCTGAGGCTGCAGCTCAAATCCCGGATTGGTTTGGGTTGGAAGGGACATAAAGATCCTCCAGTCCCACCCCCTGCCATGGGCAGGGACACCTTCCACTAGCCCAGGTTGCTTTGGAGCAACCTGGCCTTAGACACGTCCAGGGATCCAGGGGCAGCCACAGCTTCTCTGGGCAACCTGGGCCAGGGCCTGCCCACCCTCCCAGGGAAGGATTCCTTCCCAAAATCCCATCTAACCCCGCCCTCTGGCAGTTTGAAGCCATTCCCCCTTGTCCTGTCACTATTTATTAGGATGTTTAACAATCATAACTGGCCCATAAAAGTCTGTTCCTCTCCCTGATTTCGTGGGGACCGTTTTTGCCTCATTTTGCGCTGTGACGGAAAAGGGAATTCAGTGGGAGTCAGCAGGAGGGAGGACTGGCTGCATTCCTGCTGGCACAGACATCCTGGGACACAGTCAATTCCTGCTCTGGAAGGGAAAGTCCCAGAACTTGCAGCTCTGTGTAGAACACTTCCAGAGCAGGGAGGCTGCTCAGGCTGGACAGGAAACCTTTAACAGTGACCTCTGTGCTCTGCTCTGGTGGTGGAATCTTGGTTTTCAGTTCACTTTCTGTTCTTAGGCTGAAAGAATATTTTCAGAAGTCAGGAGGATTGAAAACTACAGAGTAGAAGGCATGGAGATCTATTCAACCACGCTCTGGCATCTGCAGAAAGATGTTGCCCTTTCAGTTCTTTCCAAGGATTTGACGGACATGGATAAAAACTCACCGGAGGTATAAAATGCTCTGGGTTTGAGGGAGAAAAGGGGAACTGGCCGTGGCAAAATCAATGAGCTCTGAGCTCTAATCATGTTTTTCCCTCTGGGGGTACACCTGAACATGGCAAAACTGGAGAGGGAGGTGGCAGGATTGTCTTTTGAAGTCCTGATGCCCAAAATGGCTTCTTAAAATCCAAATATCTGCTCACAGGGAACAGGTTGAAACCTTTTCTCTGTTAATGATTATTTAAATTTGCATTGGCACCATTCATCCAGGAAGATCATGGGTTAATCAGTCACTCCTGCTGCTGCCAGGGTGCAGAGATAAGGAATATCTTTTTCCTGTACCACCTCTTAATTGCTGTAGTTAATTCACTGGCATTTAAAATATTTGTCCTAGAGTTTATTTGCAGACATGATGTTGCACATTTTTATGCCAAAGTCCATTAAACTGCAAAGTGTCTGGTAATGTAAAGTCATGAGATACAAAAATCCAGGAATCAACACCTGGGACCCACAAATTGGGGTCGAAACTGGTGCCACAGTAAAAATCAGAGATATATATATATTTGTAAAGGTGCTCTTAAGAGCTGAGAAAAGAGTAGAGGATATTGGGATTTTTTTGTTGTTGTTATTGGAGGAGAGAATTCCTGTTCATATTGTCATTAGCTTGTCTAAGAGTGGAAAAACCAAGCCCAGTGAAGCAGCTGGGGGTTGTAGTGAGATAGGCTGGAGAGAGGGAAATGCAGATTCTAATCCAAGGAGTGGAGAACAATTATGTGGTTTGGCACTGAGGCTGAAAATTTGGGCAAGGGAGTGACCCCAAGCTCTGATGCTTCCCAGTCTCGATGCTGGTTCCTGTGCAGCAGGGAAAGGGGAGGCTGCTGCTAAAATTTTTTCCCCTGCAGATTTCCAGATTTGTCACTTAAGAGTGAAAGTGCCATCTGCCCCTTCATTATTCTTAAATATCAAAGATGTTTTATTTTTGGCCTTTTCAGCTTCAGAAGCTTTAGTCATTAGTCATCAAAGGATCTAATTGGCACAGACTTGTCGAGTGTCCTCAGATTCTCCATTTCCGTGTTTCAGCTTGGGTGTTTATTTATTTTATGAGGTGTGTTTAGGCCTGTTTTTGCCTCACAGGAATGAGACTGAACTGTTGATTTATTACTGTTATTTTTTTAATCTAGCAGGAATTTATTTCTAATTATGTAAAGCAGTGTGGAAGAATGTGTTCAGCTCAGCTTTAGTCACTCTGAGTTGCAGGAAGGATTCCAATCCTGTCCCGTTTTTTCCCAGGCCTGGTGTGCTGCAGGAAACTGTTTCAGCCTCCAAAGGGAGCACGACATTGCAATCAAGTTCTTCCAGAGAGCCATCCAGGTGGATCCAAACTATGCCTATGCCTACACCCTGCTGGGACACGAGTTTGTGCTGACAGAGGAACTGGACAAAGCCCTGGCTTGTTTCAGAAATGCAATCAGAGTCAACCCCAGGCACTACAACGCGTGGTAGGTTTGGGTTTGTCCCCTGCTGTTCCGTGGGATACAAGATCCCTTCAGGAGGAATGTCTCCTGGATGCTGCCACTGCTGGGATTTCATAGAATCCCAGGATGGTTCGGGTTGGAAGGGACCTTGAAGCTCATCCCCATGAGCAGGGACACCTTCCACTAGACCAGGTTGCTCCAACCTGTCCTTGGGCACTTCCAGGGATGGGGAATCCACAGCCAACTTCCCACTCCTCTCTCTCAGAAGAGAGCAAAGCTGTTCCTGCAGAAGATGTGGGATTCATGTCTTTATTGAACAGTTACTTCCACAAGGAAGGAGTTTTTTGATTTTCCCAGGTCTTTTAGGCTGCATTACCCAGCTCTTCTGTTCTCCTGTGCAGCATTCCTCGTGCATCCAGTTATTTTTTCCTCACTTGCAGTTCAGCGAGGAACTCAGCCCCTTCATACCTTAGGATACAGTTAATTTCTTAAAGCTTTTTAATATATAAAGCAGTAAAAGTTAGATTTGTGAGTGTAAGTCACTTAGTCTTTAACTGTTGTATTCCTTTTAATTTGTGGCTGTTTACCCAGTCTTCCTGGAGTTCTTCAACTGCCCAGTTGATAAAGAAAGCCAAGTAAATTTTAGATACAGCTTTTCCCCCAAGAAATCCCTTCCCACCCTGGGTTGGCAGGTCTAGAAACCATTCCTGCCACGTCACATTCACTGCCAAGAACTAATTGGATTAAAAGACAAGTGTTACTTAACAGAATTGTTTCTGTGCTCGCAGGTACGGGCTGGGAATGATTTATTACAAACAGGAGAAATTCAGTTTAGCAGAAATGCATTTCCAGAAAGCACTTGATATCAACCCTCAGAGCTCAGTCCTGCTGTGTCACATCGGAGTAGTAAGTAATTGTACTTTATCCTTGGCTTCTCATCCCGTACTTTGCAGGAGAAAAATCACTTTTGCAGCTTTTGGAAGTGCAGTGATTTCTGTCCTGGCTCTGTGTCCCCTTTGCCTTTTTGTTCCAGGCAGGTGTAGATGTGACAACCCACTTCTTGAGCCACTTTATACCAAGTGGGATTTAATTAACAGGCCATATTCAGGAGGCCTCAGGCACCATCCCTCAGTTCAATTTACGGGGCTGTTTGAAAAGTCAGTCGTGTGTCCCTCTGCTCCTGCAGTCCTGAAAAACCAGTGGCCTCTCTGGCAAATCCTGCTCAGAGCTGGGAAATAATTCTTGGATGTTAAGTCTGTGTGGGAGTGAGGGGTGGTGACCTGCTGGCTCTCATTTGCCTGCTCTGTGGCACCAAAACTGTGTCAAATCCGACAGGGACTGTGGCTGCTTCTCCCTTAAATACAGAGAAAGGCTTTGGGTTTGCTCCTGGTGAGAGGTTAAATGATTTCTGCAAGGCCTTGGGTGGGGAGAAGGTTTTGGAGTGGAGACAAAGTGGATTTTAATTCCTGTGAGGAAACCTGTCTAGAATTGGTCTAGAATTGGGCCAGTGTTTTTTTAAAGGATCAGAACATAAGCAAACAGAGTCAAAAAGGCTTGTCCCTGCCTGGCAGCTGAGCTGTTATTTTCCCATTTCAAAGTTGTTCTCCCTTTCTGTGACAGGTCCAACATGCACTGAAAAAATCTGAGAAGGCTTTGGACACGTTGAACAAAGCCATAAACATCGACCCCAAGAACCCCCTATGCAAATTCCACAGAGCCTCGGTGTTGTTTGCAAATGAGAAGTACAAGGTGAGCTTGGGGGCTCCTGGCAACCTTCAGCTGCCTTGGAATTCCTGGGGCTGGGAATGGGGATGCCCTGGCAGCTGAATGCTCACAGAACACACTGGGGAGCATCAGGGCTTGCAGGAAGAGCCTGAGACCTGTGAAATACTTGGTTTGCAAAGTGCCACCTTCACCAAGGGAACTGTATTCAGTTTTTTCATTGTAATAAAATCTGGGGCCAACAGGTTTCTAATTATTTTTATTATTAATTTTAAAAATTTATTTCTATAATTATACCTTATGTATGTTTAATTTTTTAAATGTTTATGTTGTTATTACTTTATTCTGACCCATTATCATGAGTTTATACTAAATTACCAAAAAAAACCCTCAGCAAGCTGCCCCATATCCAGTTACAGCAACAGGAACCAGCTATTTCAAAGGTTGTGTTATGGAGGGAAAAATCAGAAGCTGAGCAGTTTTGGGCTGATCCCCTGATGACCTGAACCCTGTTTAGAAGAAGAGAAGATCTTCCCACAGTCCCATTCCAGTGACTTTTCCCCTGACCTGTTTTTTTTGGCCACAGAAAACAAGCCCCAGTCTGGTTTTTAAACCTTGCTTCAGAAATGTGTGTGCACATGCAAAGGGAAAACTTGACTTAGAACTTCTTTTTTTAATTCATAACTGAATAAATTAATTACAAAATGTGTTAAGATTAAGGGCTTAATTGCCCATTCATAGATTGTTTTCAAAATGTAAAAGCAGAGGAATAAATAAATATAATAGTCCATTATCTTATTGCCCTCGTGCTGGTGAAGGAATTTTTTGACCCTGGTGAAGCAGAGAAATAAAAGATTTGGGCTCTTTCTTTCCCAGGCTCAGACTTACAAGACTGAAGTTGTGCTGTTCACATAAACTGCATAAAACTTAATGAACTGTCTTGGCTTTTAGCACCAGTACTGAGGGAACTTGGACAGGGGGATAAATGTTGCTGCTGTTGGGTAAAGAAATGTAGATTTACACTTTGATTTCTGTGGCAAGCCCCAACTTGAAATTGTGTTGACATGAGCAGGTTTTAGAGGATTGAATGGACCTTTTATAACTAAAACCAATATTTATTTCTAACTGCAGACTAAGTATTTTTAGGTTGAATTTCTTTGTGATGCCAGGTGACTGTCACAGCAGAATAAGTAGCTCCAGCATCAACAATTATTTTAATAGTAAAGTAGAAGTCTGACTAAATATTTTGGGTTTCAAATGCATGATATAAACACAGTCTTTTGTAGAAGTCCCCAAAATGCACATTTAAACCCAGAAGTTTTCAAAAGCATAGGCTTGAGACTAGTACACGCACCCCAAAATACATCACTGTTATGTTTTAGAAGTTCCACTAATTCTCCACTGTGAACACCCTGCCAGCTGCTTGTCTTCTGCCCTGTTCAACCTTACTGGGATCAAGACATTTTATATCAGAGTTTGGGTATTGTAGGAGACCAAAGCCCAAAAAACTTGCTCTGTTTCTGCAATAATGGGGCTGCAAGTTTTAGATGAGAAACTAATGGAAAAGGAATTTGAGATGCTTCTCATGAGACTGTGCTGTTGTTCTTGATGGAATAAGCTGGATGGAAATGCCAACATTAATTTCTTATTAAATTAATAAGCCACAGTTTGGTGATGTCACAACTGGTTGCAGATCTGTGGTTTGTACTCACTACACTTTTTTTTTTTCCTTCCTTTCAGTCAGCTTTACAAGAACTTGAAGAATTGAAGCAGATTGTTCCCAAAGAGTCTCTTGTTTACTTTTTAATAGGAAAGGTAGGTAAAACCTCACTGTGATCACAAGTTCTTTGGTTTCCTTTGCTGCTTAATGAGAAAATGGGATGCCTGTCACTAAGCTGCTTCCACTTGGAGCAGTATTCTAAAAATTCCCAAAGCTTTAAATAAGGCTTAGTGCTCACAGGTTTATTATGGATCAGCTTTTAAATGCAGAGGACAGTTAAAGAGAGCTGGAGGCTGTTCCTGTGATAAAACAAACCAAGAGAAAAATCACCCAGGCCACTGTTACTTTTTGCCTGCTTTGATTTCACCACTGTCAACTGAAAAGATAATTAATTTTAAAAAGCTTTCCTGGAATGGCCTGGGTTGGAAGGGACTCTAAAGATCACCCAGTGCCACCCCCTGCCCTGGGCAGGGACACCTTCCCCCAGCCCAGGTTGCTCCAAGCCTTGTCCAACCTGGCCTTGGACACTTCCAGGGATCCAGGGGCAGCCACAGCTTCTCTGGGCAACCTGTGCCAGGGCCTCCCCACCCTCCCAGGGAAGAATCTCTTCCCAGTGTCCCATCTAACCCTGCCCTCTGGCAGTTTGAAGCCATTCCCCCTTGTCCTGTCCCTCCAGGCCCTTGGAAACAGTCTCTCTCCATGTTTCTTGTAGCCCCTTTGGGCACTGGAAGGATATAAAATACATATAAACTGATCTCTAAATTGGTCCTGATAAAGATCCTTCACTGAAAAGGGACACATGGCTGTGCCATCACCACTGCATCTGTCCTGGAAATGGAATTCTGTCCAGACTTGACTCTTAGAACAGCAGTGATGTTAGCAGTGGAAATCCTTAAAATCTGGAGGGGGGTAGCCCATCCACCAGCAGAGTTGGTTATTTGCAGGTGTACCTATTAAATATTGAATCACATTCCAGTGCATTGTGTCAGAAATCCTGAATAAGAAGTAATTGCATTTTTTTGTGTGTGAAATGCCAGAGGAGTGACGTGGTGACAGAAATCCTCCTTTCCCACCCCCTCCTCTGCTCTGGAGCTTTAAACAACTCCTGCAGCTTTCTGTACTTGGAACCAACCAGACAAACCTCTGGCCCAGTCCTGGAGAACTCTCAATCAGCAAGATTTCTTTATTTTTTTTAGAGTAGGGAGAGATTAAAAGGGTTTGGGCTGAAATGTGTTGACTGGTGTTTGTCCAGGAGTAGCTGGACCCCTAAACTGACATTAGACTTGCCATGTCTTGATGAATTTAAATACTTTCACTGTTTAAATGTTTAACACAGATAAATTATTTGCTCATCTGCCCTTAATGATAAGGAATCAATGAACTACTGGTTTAATTTAATTTTTGGATGGAAATGCTCTTTTTACACATACTTATTATTTCCTTTGGGACTCATATAATAACTTTTTCATCCCTCCCCTCTCTTGTTTTTCATGAAACACCAGTTCACTGTGGCTTGGTACATTTGTTGCCCAAACCTTCAAGCAGCAGCTTTGTGTAAATGGAGCCTTTTCTGCTTTTTTTCTTTTTTTATTTTTTTTTTTTAATTGATTTTCAGGTTTATAAAAAACTGGGTCAAACCCATTTGGCCCTAATGAACTTCTCCTGGGCCATGGACTTGGATCCCAAAGGAGCCAACAACCAGATCAAAGAGGCCATTGATAAACGTTACCTTCCTGATGATGAGGAGCCAATAACTCGAGAGGAGCAAATCAGTGAATGTTACCCCTATGAATCAGGTTTGTATTCCCAACCCCTGCTCATTTAAGGAGGTTTTTTTCCACTCAGTTGTAGGAAGAATCCCAGGTTTAATAAGTGAAACGTTCTGCTCAGCAAATAAGAACTCCAGAGGCTCTTCCTTCAGCAGGATCCCTTCATTTTTCCTGCTCTGGGACATTTCTTTAGGTGTATTGGGACAGAGATTGTGATAACTGTAAATTCCTACAAATCATGGGGGCTATAATATCATCCCAGGAGAGCAAGACCTTCCCAGGGCTGCAAATATTCCATCCTAAAGCATCAAATCATTTCAGAGTAACTGAATGGCAACAGAAATTTGTCTGTAGGGGCTTTGTCAGGAGTTTAAAATGGATGTTGGGTGAAAATACTTGGTGTGCTAAACATAAAAGGTGGCTTTTGATGGAAGCCATGGAAGCAGTTTGGTTTGAATGAAGAGAAAATAAAAACACTTTGGGGAATAATCCACAAAAAGGAATAGCCCAGGTTTCTCTTCTCTCAGCTTTTGATTATGAGCTTAAATTGTTTTGACAGTCATAAGTGTTGACCTCTTTGCAGACTGAAGCAGAGATAGAAAATAAATGCTGATAAGCAATTTAATTCTTTTCCTGAAAAGAGGAAAATATAGCAGGGTTGGGATTCTTTATTAATAAACATATTGTCCTGCAATTCCAGATCCTCAACTAAAAAAGTAGGAAAAGGTGGCAGCTGTCTATCACATTGATTTTTATTGATCCTGTGTGCTTTTTGATATGGGAAACTTACCCTGCACTGCTCTTCCTGAAGTATCCATCTTTTTTTTTCCTGCTGTTGGAACTGGGTTAATTTAAAGCCCCAGCTCACTGGGGCTGAGCATGTTCTGACCAGGAGATGGAGACAGAGACTGGAACTGCTGAGCAGCACCAAAAAAAACACCCCAAAAACCAACCAACACCAAAAAAAAACCCAAGCAAAAAAACCAACAGCTTAATTTGTCCAATAAATGTAAACAAAATCAAAGTGCTGGACTGTGTGCCACAGTCCAGCCTCCCTGGCTGTGCAGAGAGACTGTCCCAGAGTTCCACAGCCTCAGCTGAACGACTCTCTTGGGATACATGAGACAAACTGAAGTAATTTAAGGTAGTTCTGGGCAAGGGGGGAAATTGTTTGGAATATTTTGGGTAGTTTAAGGCATTTGGGGCATTAAATTGCCCCCTGGGGGACTGACTATGTCTGTTGTGCAGAAACCTGGAGTGTTTTCTTTAAAGCAGTGAAGTGCATCTGTGTTTCTCCACATGAAACAATTGAGTATTTGGGGATTTACAGTTAATTTCCTCGATTGTGCTCTGGAGAGCAGAGTCCAGTCACGTTCCTGTGGGGGAAGAACAACCCATCATTAGATATTTGCCTTTGTTCTGACCTTAACAGGCATAGGAGTTAAGTATTTAAGGGTGGCCTTAGGTACTGTGTGCCATGTTCTGTGTCAGGGGAGCAGGGAGAGCTGCCCAACCCTCCTGAGGTAATTTTGGGATCCTCCATGGATCCCTCCCTGAGCAGTGCTGGAGGTTGCAGGCATTTAACAGAATGGGGCCAAGCAGGGGGTTTTGTTAATGTGCTTTGTGGTTTATTGGTGTGTACTTTGTGTGAATTCCTTTGGAAATTCATTTAGGGTCAAGGAGCAAGTGAAAGAAGGGAGATTTGGGTGAGATATTGGGAAGGAATCCTTCCCTGGGAGGGTGATGGGGCCCTGGCACAGGTTGCCCAGAGAAGCTGTGGCTGCCCCTGGATCCCTGGAAGTGTCCAAGGCCAGGTTGGACGGGGCTTGGAGCAACCTGGGCTGGTGGAAGGTGTCCCTGCCCATGGCAGGGGGTGGGACTGAGATGAGCTTTGAGGTCCCTCCCAACCCCAACCATTCCAGGTGTCTGTGATTTCTTTAGACCCCTTCGAGCTGTCAGGGCTCGGTTTTTGAAGGAAAACGGGAGAAGCCACGTGGCTTTAAAACACTCGGAGGGGGGAAGCCCAAACCTGTTGCTTTTGAGGTGCTGGAGCAGGTTGTGGGGGGATCCTGGCAGTGAAGCAGCCCAGTGGGGTCTGACCCTCCCTGTTCCTCTCCCTGCAGTCGGCACAGACGAGTCCCAGGAGAGCAGCATGACGGACGCGGACGACACTCAGCTCCACGCGGTGGAAAGCGATGAATTTTAACCTCCAAGAGCCACTGTCTGAGCTTGAGTGTGTGTGACTGGTACTGTCGTGTCCTCCCCTTCCTTCCCATCCTGGGTCTTCACCTCTCTGAGCCAGCACTGTCGTCGACCTCCACTGACACCACGAGTGCACCTCAGCCCCGACCTGTCCCAGGGGTCGTGGCAGTGCAATATCCAGCTGCTGCTGAGTCTCACTAGTTGGCTCTTACACATTTATCAAAGTGACTGAGGAAGAAATGCTGGTTTTGGACTCCCCTTTGCTGGAAAAAAATATCATGGAAGACAGACTTGTGCTTTGCTGTATGGAAGGCAGTAGATGTGGGGATAGTACTAATGACGAGGTGTCTTGTTCTTTTTCCAGAAATGTGTCTTAGTTTGGGTCTTTCTTGGTAAGCAGAGTGCTGAACCTCATTTCCAAGTTCTCCAAGGACAGTGGTGACAAACAGGACTTTTGCATATTGTAGTGTTTAACTTAAATGCCAGGGAGTGTCCATGACCTTAAAGCTGCAGTGTCTCCAGTGAGCAAACACAGGACTGGGAGCGTGTCCCACCACGGAAAACACCCCGTGGCCCTGCTTAGAGTGCAAACTGCAGGAGAATCACATGGCAGGATCAAAGCTTTCATGAAATGCTTTCATGTTCTAACCATGAATTAATTTATTCACCCGGTTTGGGAAAGGTCAGTGTTTACTTTGTACTTGAGTCAGCACCACCTCGCTTCGTTTTTCGTACACCCCTTGACTTGTTCTTCCCCTCTTGAGAATAAAAATTAATAAAGGGCAAAATCAAGAGACAAATGAGATACAAGTGTAATGTGACAACATCAAACCCTTAATCCTGAGAGACTGGGAAGACTGTGGAAGCCTTAATACAATCAGAACCTTGGTCCAACACCTCAAGTAACTGTCTCGGGTTAGTATCTCATTAGACCTGTGATCACTTTTAAAACTCTTTTGTAAAGCGTGGTCCAAGCAGGATGCAAAAATGTGCAATTATCAGTCTTTTTCCTTATTTTTTTTTAAGCTGTTCTTTCAGTTTCTCACTCCAGGAACACTTTCCTTTTCTCCAGGGGCTGTTTCTTTGAGGAGGAAGCTGCACCACGTTAGCAAGTCCAAACTGCTCTCTGTAGCCTCCTGCAGCAGCAATTGGTGCCCTTTGTGCAGTGATGACAAAGAAAGTGTATGATATAAGCAGTTTTAAAGAGCAATTTATGCCTAATAAATTGGGAATGATACAGATTTCATAGCAATGTATTTGTTGTGATCAGTCTTAATTTTTTTTTTTTAAGATCTATTAGTTTTTAGGGGTCTCTTAGTTACCTTTACACTTCAATTTCTTTTAAATTATCCTTGTACACAAGGGACATCTTCTGTCCCAGCTCCTCTCTGCTCAGAAGCCACATGGACACCTTTATCCTTTGAAAAATCATTCCCAAGTTCAGAGCAAAAAAATAGAAATTCTCTGGTTCGTTGGTGTTTTTTGAGGTAGGAGGATGAGCAGGGGAAAACAGGCTTCAACTCCCCTCACAGTGTGAAAAGGAACCTCCAAAGTCTGAGGAGCAATAAGACACTGAAGGAGGTTTGTGCCTCTGCCACATCCCTGTGCTGGGCTGGGGCTGGAAGGTCGATGGATTGACTGGAAAATCACGGCTGGTTTGGGCTGGACTGAGAGTTCCAGCTCTCCCCCCCTTCCTGTGGCTGCAGCTGCTGGGGGTGATTCCCCTTCCTGCAGAGTCTTCCCCGAGGAGGGCTCAGGTTTCCTGAGGGGCACCTGTGGCACAGCTCGGAGTTCCCTGTGTCTCTCCTGGGCTGGTTTTCCCACCCAGCCGCAGCTTCCCAGCACATCCCTGGCAGGGAGGAGTCCGAGCAGCACCTCAGTAAGGTCTGGAGGCAGCACTTGTGGAGTGCCACTAATTAATGTGTTAATGGGCTTCCTTTTGGTTCCCAGCAGGTTTTCCAAAGCAGGAGGAAGCAGGTGCTATTCCCTTGTCCATAACCAATGCTGGTGTTTAGGTGGGGACCAGAGATCCAGGAATCTAAATGGCTTTTTCCTTTCTGTTTCCTAAAAAAATGAAGTAAAAGTTCCAACCCTCTGGAAAAAGCTCTTAATTGAGCTGGGATCTGACGAGGACATTCACATTACCTGCAGGATTTAACACATAAAACCATCCCTGGCTTTCCATGTACATCATACCTGGAAGGGATTTTCCTTTTTTCCCCAAGAATCCCAAGTCACATTTAGCCCTCGCTGCTATTTTACCTTCTAAGGAGAATCACAAGATTATTATTGAATGACTAAAATTTGGCTCTTTGAGGAGGGACAGGGAGGAAGAGTCCGAGCATGGAGGCACTGGCAGCCAGGTGAGAGCAAGTGTCCACTGAAAAGAATTAGGGAACTGTCATTTTCTTACAACAAAACTATGGAAAAAAAATGCAAAGTGTGGGTGTGGTGTTACTATTTGCATTGAAACAATGTAATTTGTCCTTTTTTTTTTTTTTTGGCTTTTCTTGACTTTTTATTTCAAAAATTGTACAGTCTTAGGGGGGAAAAAAAAAGTCTTTTCTGTTAATATATTTGCGATTCATTAAAGGATGTGGAAAATCCAAATAAACTACTTTTAAAAGCAGGTTTGGCCCCAGGTGCTTTGGGACGGGGGTGGGATTTGTCCTTCAGGAGGTGGAGAAGTGTGGCAGAGGTTGGGAAGGGTTTGAGGACACACCTCGGGGCACACGGGGGCTGGTTTCTGTCCTGTGGTACCTGGGGATCCACCTGTCACCTGGATCTGCCACAGGCTTCCAGTCAACTGGGCTGGGGTGGAATTTGGGGTGAGGGTGGGGGGGTTACACCTGAGGGAAGGACGTGGAGCTGCTGGAGAGAGTCCAGAGGAGGCCCCGGAGATGCTCCAAGGGCTGGATCTGGAGCCAGGCTGGGAGAGCTGGGGGGGTTCCCCTGGAGAAGGGAAGGCTCCAGGGAGAGCTGAGAGCCCCTTCCAGGGCCTAAAGGGGCTCCAGGAGAGCTGGAGAGGGACTGGGAACAAGGGGAATGGCTTCAAACTGCCAGAGGGCAGGGTTAGATGGGATATAGGGAAGGAATCTGAGGGTGGTGAGGCCCTGGCACAGCTGTGGCTGCCCCATCCCTGGAATTGTTGCTGCTTCCATCCTGCAGCGACAGGAGATTCAATAACCTGGGTAAGGAGCAGGTTATTTTTATTTTCACTTTCTCCTGCCTTCCGTAGCAGCTCCCGACACTGTGGCTGCAACTGCTGTCAGTCAGCAGAGGAGTCATTCCTCTCTTGTACTTCCAGAGCTTCCCAGGAAGGCTCGTGGCTCTGCAGGAATTCCTCCTGCTGCAAACAATCATCTCGGATTAAACCTCTCACCGCTCGTTTTCCCCCACGGTATCAACCTAATCCAGTGGGTTTTGAGCGCCGAGTTTGGCTGGAAAAGCGCCTCTGAACTAAACCCTTTCCCAGCTGCCTCCCGCTGTTTTCTCCCGCGTTTCGTTTGATCCCGGACATTTATTATTGTGTCTCACAGTTAAATTCTCCGGAGCCAACTTCCCGCCCGGCAGCAGGAGCCGAGTTGTTCTTCCTGTGTCTCGGTCGCAGCGTCCCCGTGTCGGCTGGAATTCGGGTGATATCGGCTGGAATTCGGGTGATGTCGGCTGGAATTCGGGTGATGTCGGCTGGAATTGGGGTGATGGAGCCGCGCGGAGCCGTTCGGAGCCGGACTCGTCCTGGCGGTGACCCGGAGCTTTGTTAAGCTGAGCTTGAGGTGCCTCCAGAGAAAGGCAAAGCGTTACTGGGATTGATTTATGAGCTGCAATACATCGTTCCGGGGCTGAATCCCAGCCATGCAGGGAACACCGGGAGTTGTTTGTACCTCAGGATTTCCAGCTCGGGGATGTTTTTGGGACCTTTATGGACACCCACAGCTTAGTGGGGCAGCACACTCTGTTCTGTTGTTCATCTCTAACTTTGCTGCTGCAGCATCTTCCTGCTTTCTGTCCCTCTGTCCAAGTCTGTGACTTTATTTGAGCATGAGCTGATCCAGGAGCAGGAACTGCTTCATCTCCATTTTTAATGGAGCAGAAGAACAGGGTTTCTAAGGCAGGGAGCTCTGTATTCCTGATCCTCCGAGGATCAGGGTTTAAACTTCTGTTAACACAGAAAATAAAACTTTCTCTGCTTCTTTTGCTGACCCGTTTTTCAAATCAGTGTTTGTGGAGCACTGGATTTGTCTGCTGGTTTGGGTCCAGCTGCTGTAGAAACCCTGGGAGATGCTTCTGGGTGAGCAGGGACAGGAGGGGACCCTGCCCCTTCCTTGGGGTCACAGCACTGGACCCCGACAGCAAACGCCTCTCCAGCCTCTGTGTCCTCCCTCCAGCTGGGCAGTCACAGAGCAAATCCATGATTTGGGAATGCCAGACCCAGAAAAGCCTGTGGAGGTGGAAACAGGACAGAGGAGGGTGAAGGACACTGAGGAGCTGCTGCAGCAGAGACGTGAGACTGATGAGAAGTGGGGGAGTGGGCACAGCAGTGACATGTGGGACCTGGCCTGGGGGAATGTCCCCTCTCCAGAGCCAGCTGGGCTGGTTTGAGGCTTTCCTGGGTTTCTCAGCACTTCAGCAGGAGCTGGGTCACCCCCAGTGCCTCTGCAGCCTCGTGAACATGGGCACCAACACCTTCCACGGCTCTGGCTGCATTTCTGGTCCATCCCTCAGGGTTCTGGGGTCCTGCCAGCCCCTCGTGTCATGTTCTGACCTGTTTCCATCTGGGATCTGCTCTCCTGGCCCAGACTGTTTGACTCAGCCTTAAATGATGGAAGGATTTCAAAAATCCTGATGGCACAATAAGGGAAAGTGTCAGAAACACCTCCCAGATCAGAAGAAAACCCCCCACAACATTCTCAAAGGTCATTCCATCAAAACTACCACAGAAAATCACATCCAGAAAAGAGCCACATGTTCCTTTCTGACATCCTTTGTTCAGTTAAAAATCTCCTGTTCCCAAATCCAGCAGTTCATATCCACCTATGTGTGGAACAACAGAAATCCTCTGTTGCCAGGACGTTTGGAAAACGAGCTGAGGGAGACAAGAGGATTAGTTGCTACTTTCTGCCTCTTTTGGATTCTCATGTGTCTCAACAGATTTAGAGAAGTCTCTCTGGCAGGTGTTTCTCCTCAGTCCCATCGCTCTGTGGGAGCAGTTCATCCACTCACCTGCTTTTAAACACTTTGTCACCTGCAGAATATCGTCATATTCTGGATTTTCCCGGATAACCAGGAAAAACCAACCTGGTTGCAGCCACCTTCTCTGGGGAGGGAGGGCAAGGACAGTGTGTGGGGATGGTGGATGAGGCTGTTCTGTGTGGGGCATCCACAACTTTAATTTAAATAGAGGAGTTCGGTCGCTACATTGAGTGGGGCCACAAGTTCCCCGTGTCCCCCCTGCACCAGAATTGGTGTGGAAAGTTCCTTTTGGCCCTGAAACAGAAAAGACTCTATCTAAGAACAAGTGTGATAAATCCTCTGCCAGGGAAGGAATTTTCCTGCCTCCCTACACCGGGTGAGTTCCCCACGTCCAACCCATCCCTTGTAAAGTCTCCAGGTGTGTTGGTGTCTCCCTCTCCATCATCACTGTCCAGTGGATGGACAGACCTGGACTTTGGGGAGGTTTGGGGGCAAGAAATCAGAGCTAAAACCTGACGCAGCTTGGCTTCCCAAGGAGACAAAAATGGGAATTTTCTCCTTTGGTCCACCCAGCAGAACTCTCCTCAGCTCAGTGCTGGGGATATTTTATGATGGTACAAACCATCCCAGGGATTCCTGAGCAGGGCTTTGAGGATCAGGGTGTCATCTGTAGAAATGTATTCAGAGCATCTCAAACATCCTTCTGGTCCTTAAATGGGCCTTACAAAAAGGAGGGAGAGTGATTTTTACACAGGCAGGCAGTGACAGGATAAGGTGGAACTGTTCTAAACTGAGATAGATTTAGATTAAACTTCATGAGGCAATTCTTTACTCCGAGTTTGGTGAGGCCCTGGCACAGGTTGCCCAGAGAAGTTGTGGCTGCTCCATCTCTGGAAGTGTCCAAGGCCAGGTTGGACAAGGCTTGGAGCAACCTGGGCTGGTGTCCCTGCCCGTGGCAGGGGGTGGAATGAGATGGGCTTTGAGGTCCCTTCCAAGCCAAACCATTCCATGATTCTCTGATCCTCCTCCCAGCTCTGCTGTCCCAAAGGGAAACAGCAACTCT